CATCTTCCAAAAAACTTGGCATCTCTTAACCATGGGCAAAAACATCTGGAACCACTTATAAAAACCACCCCGTATCTGCATGAACTTTTTTGAACCCCACTGCTATTCCAAACAACGCGTTTTTCTGGACCATTCCAATTCGCCTCGTAATTGTAGGGGTGCGTCTGCGATATTACATTGACCGCGAAAGCAGCAACGGCAAAAATACACATTCGTGCATCAACACGGGCATGCCCGCAGACGGCGTATAAAATTGCGTGCCGATTACACAAAGAGAACCCAGTGTTTTGACTGCGAACATGAAAAATCAGCCGATTACAACACTCCGTCCGGAGGTCCTGACCTCCTTCACGGAGTAATAATGACTGTCTACACTGTACGTCCTCTATTTATTACCACTCATTACCTCCTGGTAAGGAGATATCCTTCCGCGGCAAGGTTCTGTTTCTGTTCGTGTGTTCGCAGCTGTAACTCACGGAGGGCTGGACGATCTTTTAGGTTCCTGGTACATGTATATGATTGGCTATTGGGGTCCAAATAATGCGGATTGTTTTATTTTCATTGTATTTGACTATGTTTTAGACTGTTGAAATAAAAGAATCGGATAGATGTATAGTAATGCATAGACTTTATGTTCAGGACTAATATATTTTGGCCACGTATATCTATTGTTATGAAACACATTGTCCTGTTGCAATTTTACTGATGCCAGACAAGTATAGTCGTGTTTGAGTTTGGGCAGAATTTTTAGCAAGACTGAGACAGTTGCGGCACCTAGCGATTTTAGTCTGTAGTACATGTCATCGCTTTATAACTACTTTCGGTCTTTTTGTAGACTGTGTGTGGACAAATTAATTTTGCCACTTTGTAGCAGTATCGTGTGGCTATATGTATCTTGTATGTTTCGGAAGGTGATGGTTATAATATATAACATTTTGTGAATCTACAATTGAAAACTATAGTTTTTTTCATCTTCATCCCATTGTTAACATGGGGTGCCCTAACGTCGCACGATTTTTTACTGATCTTATTTTGCAAAGGTACGGCTTATTTGTTTCTACTGATTTTGCTTAAATCTGGAATGATACTTAGGTGATAGGTATCCCATATCTAATCAAGGATCTAATGGATGCCACTTGCGACATCTAGCGATTGCTATCTAAAGTGCATGTCATCGCTTTAATTTTGGCCGTTTTGTAGTGCGCACGATTCATTTTGTAGCAGTTCTGTAAATTTACTTTGCCATATGGTGTAAGTAACATATATCCTATGTCTCCAGCGTTGAACAATTTTGAATTACATACCTCTAACACACGAGTTTTTTGTAAATCTACATTTGAAAGATACAATAAACGTTTTCTAAAAATCTGTCATTTTGTGTGCACCATCTTATGTGATCCTGTCAAAATCTGACAACATGAAAATCATATTTTTAACATGTGTGTCTGCGTTATACCGTTCCAGGGAGATAATTATTAGCCTAATAAGTAGGACGATTACATTAAGCCAGGCTATAACTGTCAAAGATGTCATTTCCTGATCAAGGAAACCACAGATGCACGTGGGCCGCCAATCTTCTATCTCATGCTGTTCGCAACAGTCAATCCAAATTGCAGGATATAATATGATAAAATATGATTATGGAACATCTTCTGGGCATCACGAATCAACGCCTTTTCATTTATGACTATAGATAGCACTTGTAGAGGTACTCGTATGGAGATGACAGAAACCATTAAACAAACGCCCACCTTTTGCTTAGAGAGTTTACATCCTGCCGATAACGTTTGTCTGAAGAAGCAGAGAAACCAGCTCCACCGGTCAAAATTAACCACATCTTTTTGACCGTCTGATGCCTCAAGAGGAGACATCACACAATATGGTCAGTTCAATGAGTTGTTCCATTGTCTTCTGTGGTACTTAACTAAACAAGACTACTTACCTCACCTATAACCCACGGTGCAGTTGGACTAAATGCTCAACAGTATCAGGAACAACAGTGGTAAGTACGTCCAGTATTCCATAAACGGACAACGTCTACAATTGTCTTTAGGTACAAGAAACTGTCATATACGTTGAATTTTATATACCTGTCGTAAAACATCATTATTTTCATTGATACCTCCTTCAGGGTTGTTTCTTATTGTTGTTTCCAATATGGTGGCTTTTCTTCAACTACTGCGGGTATTGGAACGTAAAAACGGTTCGGCACTATCTCTAGGAGGTTTACAATTTGAAAACCATCAAAGTTTAGGGAGAGTACTGTTTTATCATATTGTCGAATATCCATGAATACCACTTGCAGTGTCCAGGGATATTACCATCTAAAATAGCTGACATGTACTTTAGATCTAAAGTATACATAACTATTTCCTGCCTACGCATGTATTCATCTTCTGTCATTGTATATATTTCATGTATTTTCATAGTATTATAACTGTTTGAAATGTTTACGGCCTTGTCTATTTTCATGCAATTTGGCCTATGGCTGCGAGGTGCAATATACCAAACATTGTACTATTTTACTTGTATCTGTGAATAAACCATCGATTATATGTATGAATACCACTTGCAACGTACAGGAATATTACCATCTACTAGCATCTAATATTGCATGACATTTAAAAAAAATTAAATTTAAAAAAAAATCTGTGTCCTTTTTTCTTTAACAAACGCGCCTCGATCGATGATTTCATTTCTACGGGCCATCAAAAGAAACCAAAAATAAACAGTCAATGTCCTCTCTTAAAAGCCATCGCTCTCTTTCATACATCGCTATGGTAACTCCTACGTACGACAGAGCTCTACACGATGTCTAGTATGATAATATTGACCTCTTCTTCTACACAGCAACAGATACAAGCTCCAACTGCTTAGTAATTGACTTCCTTCTGGTAACGTTCGTTCCAGCACTGTGGAAACTACAGCTCTACTTGTCTCATGCCTCGCCGAGAGACACCACTAAGACAGTAACTTCAATGGGTTACTATTCCAATGCCTTCTTTGGAACAAAACAAAAAAAGATTGTATCCGACTCTTAAGTTAAAGAGGCCTGTAGTGTTGTAAATACGGCGAAAACATGGAGTTCGGCATTGGTAGCGCTGTCATCTGTTGGCTGGCTGGCATCATCATCATCGACAACAATGTCGCCGTGCTCCGGGGTCTGTTCAGAACACGACTACTTCAGACCAAGTTCTACGTGTGTGTGGCGAACATGGCAACGGCAGACCTCCTGGCTGGGATAGGGCTTCTGTATTACACAACTGCGCTGGTAAAGTTGAGCACACATCACAGCTTGATTAACAGTTTGTCGCTGTTGGCGTTCAGCCAAGCGATGTCGGCATCCAGTCTAACTCTGATGTCAATTAACAGCTATCTAGCTGCAAATCATCCTGTATACTACATCACCCATTATGAGGAAGCGGAATGGTACACGGGTACAGCAATACTTTTTCTGTGGCTCTTTCTGTCCGTGCTGTATTTCTTGCCTACTATGGGCTGGAACTGTTTGGATATGCCCGTGTCAAATTGTTACGGCTATTTCCTCAGAGCAAACGTTGGTCTTTGGTTGGCCTTGTTCCTATTCTTGGCCGCTATTACCATCTTCACAAACATCAAAACGTTTTGGGCCCTCAGAGAGCAAGAAGAGACGAGAGATGAGCAAAATGAGAGACAACCAGGATCCCAGGGAAGAGCAGACACGGCAAGGACAGTCATGGTCCATGCAGTAGTGGCGATTGTCTGCTGGCTCATACCTCGCCTTGCTGGTATCTTAATCTGCCATAGTCTTGACAAAGAGGAGTGCTTGTTTCAGATGATCTGGCGCGGTAAAGTCGTTCTACTGTTCACAATGAACTCTGCAATCAACCCGATTGTAAGCATCATCCGTATACCAGAGCTCAGAAATGAAATGTCGATCAACCCCTGGGTACTTGCCTACATGATACAGAGATTCCGGGGAAACTAAGAACAAAAACAAGTCAGTTGGAGAAACAGGCTAAACTAACAAGAGACGCAGTGTAACCGGCTAACTAACAGAACAGAGATGAAGAAATGCATCAGAACAACAGTGGTAAGTACACCTCTCTTTCATTGATTAAGAGTTAACGTCTAGAATTGTCGCTGGGTACCAGACGTTTGTTGCATCCTCTATATATATACAATTGTCATGTAATAGAGTTGTTTTATTTATCAATTTGTTTTATTTTATTTATTCTTTAATTCAGGTACCTTGCCACTATGCATACATACAAGAACACATTAATAAAAGAGAGTGAAACACGGCAACAGGCACAGATTTAAGACTGACATGTAACGAAAACTACGTAGAAGCGAGTTCGCAAGTCAGTAAGAATAAAAACCTCTAACCTGGCCTTGGATGGCTGGGTCATCAGAAAGGTCAGGGGTGATAAAATATCCAAGATAATTGGCGGAATATATCTTCTACACACTTGTTTAAGATGGTTGCTTCAAATATAGGAGCAGTTTAATATATCATGTTTTTAAGTTTAAAAATAGTTTTGCCGTGTATACTTTCAAAACCAGGAGAGTTTGTGAATAATATTGTTCAATGTAAAAGTCAAGATAGTTTTCTTTTATTCAAACATCAATTAATAAAAGGTGGTATTATATTGTTAAACTTGAATTATTGCTGTATCATTTAGGTTGCAATGTAAAGAAAATACCATAGTTTTCTTCAGCACTGAAACCGGGAACACAACATTGATTTTCCAAGGCCACACGGCAGCGAAACCTGTCTCTCATGCAATGTGAATTCGAAGTGCTTTATTCAAAGGGCTCTGCCATCCATCAACAACAGCTGGGTCGTGGGTAGCAGGCACACGGGTTTTCAGTTTGAAAACAAATTAAATGCGTTTCTTTATTTGGACTTGTTGCCAACGAGCAACTGCCGACGAAAGGAAAGTCAAGCAAGGACGCTGACAATAAGAGCTCTTTTGCTTAGCTGTACCAATCCTCAAGAAAAAAAATACTTGTCAACATTTCGTATTATCATTTATTTGAACACATTTAATTTGAAATTGGTTTATTCATTCAGTCCAACCAGTTTGAAGCCAGTAAATATAGCTAAGATTGCATAGTCATGATGTTTTTTGGGGGGATTCAAAACTATATCATACAACATGATTATATACTACTAAAAAAATTAATCAAACACACTCTAAATATCTACTATTTATTAGTAAGTTTCCTATCCTAAACCTTTTATAATTTTTAGAACTTCAAATGTTAAGAATATCATACCCTAGTGTGCAAGAGGACAATTGTGTATGAGACAGGTTAACCCTACATAAATGTTTTGGTACACTGGCACACCCACCGTAAAAATTAGGTACACAATTTTTGGTGCATATTAGTGCATAATACACACCCAGTATTTCAAACCCTAACAGTAAAACAGTTCTTGTATCTATGAATGCACAAAAAATATACAAAAGTATACACAATGGACTGTTTGTAAAAAAAAATTGATAAACTACACTAAGTAAAATGAATTTATTCATGAATGTTAAAAAAAAGAAAGAAATTGAAAAAAAAACATTTGCATGCCCTGATTGTCATATACATGCATTAACCCACCAACAAGTAAAGAAATAGAATTCTAAGAGGAGAGAAAGAAGCCACATATATCAGGTCACTTAGACTGTCCCTCAACTAAGACGGGGGCCGTTACCAACTAAAGACACCTTTGATCTGTTGCTGATGTCGTCTTTCTTCCCAGGTCATGTGGGCTTAGGCTTCTGGTAATTTTAATGAATAACCATTTTAATTTGTGTATGGATACTGCATTCATTGTAAATTTTCATAATGTGCTTTATCATAGATTAACTTTCATTTGAGTTAACGAAATAATATGGCCATAGTCCCCAGTGGCAATCCTTTGCATGCTGGGAAAAATTTGAGAACTCTGGGTAATCCAGGGGGCAAGCCAAATTATTGCCTTGGTAACCAGACAAGCTGCCTGCATGTACAATGTACATTCAGGAGGTGTGGATGACTGTATGCCTCAAGTTTTGAACTAAGAAGCCACATGTGAGGAATTGACAGTCCACCTAAACTCCGAAGAACTACAAAGACATTGTACCCTCTGTTTTACCTATTATTCCAGTTTCAGCAACAATTGGTCTACATTGACTGCACTGAATGACACAAGGTCAGACTTTTGTTTCAGTCTTATCCAACAGTTACTGAAAACAAGGAACGGGATCTTCATTTCTTTCTTTACTACCTCCTCCTTATTGCCTCTAAAACTGTCTCCGGCCTCATGATGCTAAAGACAAAAGCTGCTATCTTCTCGTAGATCAGAAACATGAGTGCTGCAGTGAGAACTGTCTGGAGGAGTTTGGCCTCCAGCCCTTTGTATAAGCCTTTCAGTCCCTGTTTCCTGTAAAACACATCACACAAAAAATGAGGGCCAAACAGATCCACTCCTGAGGTGTTGCCAAAAAAAAGACAATATCATATTATTAAAAGTAACATTTTCTAATTATTTGGCTTTGCATGTATACAGGCCCTATGCTACCCTATTTATTGTGAAAACAAATCAGCTATTGAAAATGAAAACAAATTTTTCACAGTACGACAGCCAGTCTATGAAGTAAATTGCAGAATTGTATGCAGAAACATACTCCTAAAACATAAATCAACTTTAAATCAGTTTAGCAAATTCCACAACCTCAGACTAGAGAATAAACCTACCCAACAAATATCTTTGTCTCTCTGTTACTGTAAACTCACTATGTCCAGAACAAAGTCCACAATTTCTTCATACAATAGAAAAGTGAATGCTGTGGTCAGGACTGTCTGTGTGAGCTTGGCTTCCAAACCTTTGTACAGGGCAAGAAACCCCTGGTCTCTGTACACATACACATACATGTACAGAGGGATGCAGGCAGCAAGACAAACAAACAAACAAACAGAGGAGGACAATACAAAGCGAGGCAGGATACGTATGATGAAAACAAATTAGAACAGAAGAAAGAGGGAGAGGGAGAAAGGGGCAAGAAATAGAATTTTTGGTGAACAAAGTGGTAAGGAGTAAAGACAAACAAATCATGAAATGAAAAAATAAGCGAGCTGTAACGAAGCCGCATTGCACAAGCATAGCTAATAGAAAAAGCATGATATCATGCTTCACCTCTGACGAGGATGACTAAACAGAAACAAACAGAACTGTGAACTGACCTGAGCAGTTGTTGAATCATGACCACCACACTACGGAAGGTTTCACTGGTCTGTCGGCCCTCCTCAGCCTTCTTGTTCCTCCCAGACTGGTGGAAAACACAGGCACAAGCACATATATATGATAGTGAATAATTTCGTCAGGTTTATAAATCACTCAATAAAGAGTCTTTGGAACCCGTAGTCAGAAGTGCCCTGAGGAAGGTGACACACGGTCATCGAAACATCAGCTTGTAATATTCAACTTGTATGTAAGGGCTTAAAAAGGTGGTCGCTTGGGCAGGTTTGAGTTTTGAGAGTTTTGAATTTGGACAACCTCAAGCAAAATTGAAAAAAATGATGTGCATTACCCTGAGCTTGCTCTGGATGAGTTGCAGAGGGTAGGTGGAAACCGTAGCGATTCCCTTGGCAAGGGCTCCGACCAGGAAGAACTGCCAGGCGTTCAGTTCCTGAGGAGAAACAGCAGAGTGCTATACATGCACGTCCGGGAGGGGGAGGGGGGCAGGTGATTAGTGATGGAGTTCCATTGTTGTTGTTTATTGCAAATGACAATCATTCACAGATCACTCACAGAGGATGCAACAGGATACAAATCATTGAACAGGGCTTGAAATACTTTGTTCTACATACATTTGTACATACATTAAAAATTACCTGCAGACAAACTTTAAATTTTAATTTTATTTTCAGCCCCTCAAACTCAGGAATCAGCTGTAAACTTTGCAGCGATGTTACCTGTTTGGTAAACCTGGTGAGAGACCATTTGAGTAAACCAAATTACCTGTTTGGTAACCCTGGTGAGAGACCGTTTGAGTAAACCAAATTACCTGTTGGGTAACCCTGGTGAGAGACCGTTTGAGTAAACCAAATTACCTGTTGGGTAACCCTGGTGAGAGACCGTTTTTTGAGTAAACCAAATTACCTGATGGGTAACCCTGGTAAGAGACCGTTTGAAGCCCTCGTAGAACATGAACTGTATGGCGGGGTTGAAGACCAGGATGAGGGAGGGCAGGGTTCCACTCCACAGGGCAGACACACCCTCGTCTCGCACGATACGCCGGAACGCGTCTGCGTAACGATACAGGCAAAATTATTGTTGCTACTGTTCTCTTTTCATTACCAATACCTGGCCAGGCTGTTTGCATGAACAAGAAGTTAACAACTCAAATGAAGAATACACACAAATACTGATACAGACAGTGTGACTGATACAGCATCATCCCTCAAACTTACCCATAATGCCCTTGTAGTGCGGGGGTTTGTTCTCCCGCTGTTCTTCTCCGGTGAACTTTGCCCCCTGCAGCTTCAGCCGGGTGTTCACTACCCACATGGGTGTGGTCAGCAAGACATTCACCACACCTGGAACATGCATCAACATGGTCACTATGACAACCATGTGGTCACCATGACAACTAGGTGGTCACCATGACAATGGTGTGGTCGCCATGACAATTAAGTGGTCACCATGACAACCATATGATCACCATGACAACCATGCTCTCACCATGACAATGATGTGGTCCAAAAAACTGCAACAGTATCCTTACTTTTCTAGAGTTACATTGTACTTATCTAGAGAAACAACTTTCTTCATAATAACATCTCTGACATTGAATAAAAATACTCTTTTCTTCATATAACCATCCTATGTTTTGTTGATCGTCTGTCAAAAGGCTCCTACATACCAGCCATGAAAGCCAGACACAGGTCCTTGAGAGGTCCGCTTGGCTGGTGGTTCATGATTGTCTTCAGCCCGTTGTATGTGTAGAAATAAACAAAGTTTGAGCAGCAGAGACTGGAAACTACAGGGAACCATCCTCGGTATAACGCCTTCCTGGAATAGATATGGGAAATGGACCTTTAGACATAACTTATTACTGTCTTGGCATTATTCTATATGTGTAAATAGTGATGTAAATACATTGTAAGTAGAAAACAGCCCATCTCATGTCATACTTACACGCCTTCCTCTTTTGAAATTTCAGAGATGACTTCGTGAGTGTACTTTGCCTTCCTCTTGTCATCAACTGCAAAATAGGTAATACAGTCAATCTATCAATAAAATTAATACTACACAAAGTACATTGTCAATGTTTATTGACAGGCACCTTCTGTCAATATTTTAAAAAGCCTACAAGTATATTGCAAAATACACTAGATAGTAGGCTTTTGGTGAGTCAATTTTCTTGCCTTTGCGAACAGTTTAATTTTCATTAGGTTTTAGAACTTTTGTTTCCTTTTATTTTCAACACAAACAGCATACAATTGCAAATATCATCAACAGGGATAAAGTTAAACCATTGTTCACCCACCTTGTAACCTGAGTCTTGCTGTGTCCAGAGGAAAGAACACTGACATAGCAGTCACACTGCCCTGTATGAAGACGACAAACATTGAGTATAATCAAGGAGGTACAAAAATCACATGCTTATATATAATTTTGCACAAAGACTTTACTTCTTTCTCGCCCCTCCCCCTCCCCTAAAACAACAGATATGCACTAAAACTATTAAAAAGATACGCAGTTATAACGTTAACGGTAGTCTCTTCTAACCGTTACCTACCAACTGCTGAAAATAGTTCACAAAATTGTCGAATAGTGAGACTATCATTACAAGGAATTAGCTATCCATAAGTTATAATGTTGGTAATCCTGCATATAGAGACCACCAAAATTTGGTTATGTTTCTTGTGTTTTACCGTCGCTCCCGCCACTGCATGGATCAAGTTGTCGTAGCTGAACAGTCCTATAGGGGAGGGAATTCCGTCCTCTACATCTTCCATCGTACAGACTGCCTAAATCTCGGACCCTGGACTTAACAAAAACTGCGACAAAACGTCAACATTAGCTGCACAAAAACACTTCAATCTGTAGCTACACACATGCGGGCTTTTACCGGCAATTCACGTAACTGACCTTTCAACTTTATAAGGGAAAGTCTCATACTACTTTAGGGGGTGGTTGAGGTGACCAATTTTCACTCAAAGTACCGACAAAATATAAAATATTTCATTCAAAACAGAACTTGTTATCATTTTTGGTTTTATTTTAAATTAACGTATTTTTTTAAGCTCAATATCGGCGTTTCTTTTAGCTCGAGATTGATTACTTAACGTTAATGGTTTATCCCCAAGTGGCGCGACGCTTGGCTCAGATCAGATTTGAGGGAGGGGGTGAATGAAAAAAAATATTATTTTCTACCTTTTTACCGACACGAGAGCCCGTTATACAAGCTCAATACACGACATTATTCTTTAGCTTAGGATTAATAAAAAAATTCATTGAAGTAGAAATATTACACTGTATTAAAAAAATTATTTACCTAATTTTTTTTTCATAGTGGTATGGCCCCAGCATAGTTTCCAAGATGGCGACATGAGAAGTTAAAAAATCGAAATTTTGCCGTCTTTTCCTCGTTTTCTCCGTTTTTAAACGAGATCTACGCCTGGCAAAGGTGCCATACGATAGACAAGACGTTGAAGACCATTTAATAGGATGGATAAACTGACCCTCATATCGGGTTTTCTGTTTTTCGCCGCCGATGTTTTCGCCATCGCAAGTCTGGCAAATCCCGAGTGGATTGTCACTGACGAAGACGCAGGTTTGTCTTCTTTATAATCTATAGCCTGGGTACCAGACTGCTGTAAGGGCCAGTACACAGGGTAGCCTCGCAGTTACAACCTGAGGAATGTGTTTATGGTGACATGTTAGCCCTGGAGCCGAGGAGCTAGCCTGCATACTGGCCCTGGCAACAGTCTGACATCCAAATATAAAATTTTTCTACATGGCGATTTTCTTACCCATAAAAATTAAATTATGCGGTGTGGTAAACATGGAATCTTCAAGATATAAGCGTAAGAAAACTTGGTGTTTTGATGCACATTCATTAAGATAAACGCTATGTTTATGTGTGCTGGCAAATTCGCATGGTTTGGCATAAATAATGATTTCTGGTGGTTAACCTAAGTTTTACATGAATCATAATTACGTATTTTGGAAGGTATGCGAGAGTTACAAGTATTTATTGTAAAATCTAATGGGACTTTTATCTTGTAGGGTCAATGTCTATAAATTGTTTGTATCATGTGCTTGTATGTAGGCTCTGTGAACCTCGGTCTCATCAGCCAATGCCAGACCATCTACAAGCGTGAGAGAATATGCATGGCGCCGACCCTGCCTGCGGAGTGGCTCACGTCGCTCCTGTTCATCGTGGTCGGCATCATCTGTCTCACCGTCACCTGCATTCTGCTGTTCGCCTCACACTGGCACCGCAGCGTGCTGAAATACGCCAGATGGATCGCCTTCCTCGGAAGTAAGTACATGTACTGGTTGTAACAACAGTTATTACTGTAAGGGACTAATGATTTTATCACCTTCGTCAATAGCATTTGCATCTGTCTGTCTGTGTGTGTGTCACACTATGTGTCTGTCAACACGATAACTCGATAAAGGCTTGGATGGATTGCCTATATATTGTTACTAGTAATAATTTTTTTTATGTAATACCTCAATATGGGTGTTCTGGCCCGTGTGATAACTAGCAACCTGTGTGACAACCTATTTTTGAAAATTCAGAATCAGATACTAGTACTGAGTTTGCATGTTGTTACAGTCTTTTTTAGGGAAGCAGTTTTCTCAATTTCTGGCACATTTTGCATTGAAATTTTTGTTTTCTGAGGTAATTAGGACATTAATAAAATAAAACATGGTGTATTATTCATCACCCCCAGGTTCAGCCCTTCCGCAAGTTTCCGAAAATTATATTCTATACACATCTAACATCTGTTCTCTTGCGCCCCCTAGTGGTCCTGTTCTGCCTAGCAGCCCTGATCTTTCCCATCGGCTTCTACGTTGATGAGATAGGAGGACAGCCCTACAAGCTGCCCAACAACACACAAGTGGGGTCGTCCTACGTGCTGTTCGTGCTGTCTATCTTCTTCACCGTCATCTCAGAGCTTTTCGCGGGGAAGGTTTGCCTCCCTGTGTTTTAACTGTTGGATGGAACAACCCAATGGAAAACTTTTGAAGAATACCGTAATTCCTCATTTGTAACTTTTGTGTTTGCAGTTTTTGCGGTCACTTCTGTACCACAAATTTTTCTTTACCGTTAACAAATGCTGATATAGTTAACCGACTTTCCTTTTTCTGCGCCTGCCAGCATTGTCAACATACTAGTATACTGGTAGTTCTGTAAACACCTCCATTTTCTCAGACCACATACATAAGTAAAGTCAATTACATGTACAGTAAGTGCTTTGGCAGTTGTGTATAGTAGAAAACAGTATTTTGAGTCCATATGTACCAGCAGTCAGTGACATACTAGTATAGCAAAGCAAAATATTGGTTGGAAACCACTTACTGTACAACCATAATCATATGCCAGTTGAAAGTAGCGAACAAAAACCTTGGTTTGAGAGTGAATGCCAATTTGATTTGAACACCACAAATGATAGTATGCTATCATAACAAAAGATCTCAAATGAAAGCCAATTGTTTGACACTGTGACAGTTTGGTTCATGTCAGAATATTGTGAGGAAATGGTTTTAAGGAAAAATGGTGATGGTAAGTGTTGATGCAAGAATGATTAAAAAAACATTGCAATGTATGTACATAAACATGATACATCCAATGACATGTGTTGCTTCTCTTTTGATGTTGTCACAGGTTGAAGTTCTCAAGGTATATGTAGTAGATGACATGTGCATTCATAGTAGGTACAAAACAGCAGGTTTATGTGTATAGAAATATTGACCACTCTAGTAAGATGAAACTAGTCCCTATTGTATAATTTATCTCTACATGTTTCCTATTAGAAATGACTGTACTTCATCTACATGTGTTTTTGTTGTTTCATGTAAAGGAAAGAAGTATACAGTACTCCACAACAAAATGTAGTTTATGACTATGAGTGACAGACTTTTCACTTATGTAAAATGTCCCGTGAAGCCTTTTGTAGACTGAAGAGTTAAGTATTACTTGTATTAGTTGGGTTTAAAACTTTCAAAGATTTGAAGGCAGTGTAATTACTATGGAAAGGACTAGTCATCATCTGTATATTTTACAGCTCCAATGTTTATTAAAAAACAATCATGTATAGATGAATATGTAACAAATTGAGGCTTTTTTTGCTCTGTAAATAGAACCCATTGTAAATAAAACATCTTAGACTCTAAGTTAGAGCATTAGTTTGCTGTGTGTTTTAATCTTTATAATCATATGTTATGTACTAAAACTGATATAAGTCTATAGTGCACTGTAGACCAGAGCACAATCACATTCAAGATTTCAAACCTGTCACCAAGAAATTGATGGTTTACAAAATAGAAGGTCTTTTGTACACTTGTGAAACTGTGTCATTGCTTTTTTTTTTTTCTAAACTATATTTCTTTCCAACTCATATTTTGCTTTGTGTATACTTCATCAAAGGAAAATGATTTTAAAAAACTTTTAAAAACAATTTGTTTCGGATTATGAAAATAAACTAGTTTATACCTCACCTATAAAAATGACTAATTACATACAATGTACATAAACACACATACACACACAGGTACAAAGTTTAGGCATCATTTAGTGTGCATCAACTTGTAGTTCCTACCTGTATATTATTCAATGGAATGCAAAAGACTGACATAAGCAAAAGAAAATCCATTATTGCAGTGCAATCTTTATTCATAGCATTTCAATGCTATATAACATTCTTATATCAAATACATGTACAGCATTTTGTAAATACCCTGAAGTCATAATCTACTAGTATCATAATTTTACCCCTATATCATAAGTCATTGACATGGCATAAACATCATCATGATAATGGCAATGATCATAACATTATGAGTTTAAGTCTATTGATTATTAAGTCTTTTCTTTTAAGTAGTCTAGGGCAATACATGTGAGTGACTTGGCTGTCATAATGTCACTACGTGTATCCATATGTGCACACAACAGTTTGTGCAATATGCATCCAGCACACTTTTATTAGTCCTGCACAGCCCTTGATATCTTACCTACATGTAACAAATTTGGCTGCAATAGCAAGAAATTGACAGCAACAGTACACTCAAAAAACGTGTTCAGCAATAGAATGTAGTTTTTTTAAACCATTAAAGAACTTTGCTTAGCATCCTTTTTATACTATGTCTATGACATGTTTTATAACTACTGGAAGGCAGTTATACACTATACCTGAATGCAAGTACATGTAAGTACAGGTCCAAAACTTGCACAAACTTTGCAAATTACTGTTAGTCTCTTATAAGATCAATTGTAGCTGCAGTGCCCAGTAGTTCCTGTAGATTGAGTGCCTGATACCAGTACAAATTTGTTAAAAGGTTATCTTAGCATGGCAAAGTTTAAAATGTGTGTGCCACATTAGCAGAACAATCTGAGCATTGAAAGTGGCCCTGAGAAGACAGCTTGAAAATTCTCTCAGACTAGCATTACATGCACATGTATACAAACACTGCACATATGTCAAATGCACCTTAAACAGTTTTTATATCATGTGATTGTAGCTGTTACAATGCCAGAATAATGTTTTTTGTTTCTTTACTACTATACAGCATTAGGCAAAGATGCTCAATTTGTCCATTTTTTCCATTCAAATGTAATACTAGTAGGTACATGAAACCTACCATAGTAATTTTCCAGCGTAACAGCTTTCCTACTATAGTTCATATGATTCTTTAGTCTTTTGATGTAGAAAGATATATTTGATGATAATTATTTGCATTTTTCATAAATTTCTCTGACTAATCCTTTCTTGAAATGGGGTTGGTAGTTTAGTATGTTTTCTATATTGATACATGTATAAAGGTCTAACTATATCTCTAAACTCTTACATGTATTCATGCTCCAATGTATATTCTAAGAGTACTGTACATACACTACAAACAGTATTTAGCATTAATAGGAGATGTAAATTTAAAGTGTGTTGTATATGATGATTATATACATAGCTTTACTATCATGTCTCAAAAAGTAGCACTAGTATAATTTTTGAAGTAACAAAAAACAAAATATACTGTTGCCATCAACCTTTTTAACAATCTGGTGATATATTGTGCTGGATTAAAAAAAAGGTATTCCAATTACCAAAAGACATCAAATTTCTGTCATGCATACATACACAATGCCTTACATTATATAATTGTATATTTGATTGCAACAATCTGACAATTATCAAAAGATTTTCACATTCATAATGTGCATCACTATATTTCATATTTGCTGTTTTAAAAAGACTGAAAGACATATTGGTGCAAATTGGCAGAGAATATCATGCTCAAGTTTGAAAAAATCCTGTCAAAAAGATTAATATATTTTGTACCAAAGCATACTGTAGCATTAGTAGGATTATACCTCAGGCTTTGTTTATAACTATATCAAAATTATCTAAGGACTATAAACCCTAATTCTAATTGTTAAAAAAACAATTATACAGCCAGAGGTGGCAGCTGTAGTCAAAGCTGTGAAAGAAAGACAGGAATGTTGATCAATATTCATTGATTGTGGTATTTAGGATACATGCCTTCTTCCAAGGCATTGCCATAAGAAAAAGTAATGATCTAGGTCAAGAAATTCAAATTATCAGCTCTTTATAATTTGTGCTAACCCTTAACAGAAGCTAAAAAAAATCTTTGGAAGCCCTTACTGTGTGACATTAGCTAAAATTGCTCAGTTTCTTGATTGTCCAGTTGTCATTTTTACTTTGTGTGCAGTTTCTATACAATATTTAGCCTAAGTCCTTACGATGTGTACCCGAAAAAGTTTGAAGTCTTGATGGAAGATTGTCGCGAGTGAAAGACGTGGTGCTTTAACTGATGTTCAGGTTGCTGTGCTTGTTGGGGGTTTCTCTGTCTGTTGGTAAGGGGGAGGGGGGGCCTGAGGAGTACCAGTTGTGGGGAGGGGGGCTCTGTTACCGCCGGATCTGTCCTGAGCTGCAGAGAGACTACTGGCAGACCTCTTGATCTGACGAGCTCTGTGAACAAGCAGACAGTTCTCAATCATTTTTAAAGTAAATTCATAGTAGCAATAACACATTAGTACGAATCTTTCATACTGCCTGTCATTCTTCTCCAACCCACTTGCTGTCAACCTACTCTGCCTGGGCAAACAGACACACAAACCCACAGCTCAGCTATCCTAAACTATAGATGTACTTCCATAACCAAAAATAACATCCCAACCATTTCTAGATCATCTGAATCCCTGATGAGGTTCATTAAATGTAAAGTTTAACCATTGTTGGTTTCAGCACCAAGGACATCACCAGTGCAATGGACTGTAAAGCATACGCATGTTATGATGAAATGGCTAAACTTGATGTCCAACACTAAGTAAATTGGGATCCAAGATTTTCAGCTGATGGTACACGGAAACTGCAGTACTAGAAGGGTTTATTCCGTGAACAAGGCTGTATTTTCTCTAAAATACTGTTAATACATTGTATTACCTGTCATCTTGCCTGCCCCCTTCCTCTGTAAGAAGGTGCTCCTGAGAGGTGTATGGTGGGGGTGGGGGGAGAGACTCCCCAGGGCTGGGGAGTGTACACCCGTACTGTGCCGTGGGTCTGACGTTAGCGGTGCTGTACGGTGGGAGAGACGAGTCCGGGGGGTTGGGACCGACATGGATGCTCGGCTGGATGGTGCCATCTGGGGCCAGTGTGAAACTGATCATGGTCATGTCTGAAAATGAGAAGACATTTGAATAGACTTAAAGCAAACATTTGTAAGCAAATGCAGAATACTTCCCCCTCCCCCAAAATTTCTGATAGTATTACTAGTGGTATGATTAACATTTTTCTAAAAATAGTCTTACATAGATGTGATGTCCAAGCCATAATTAGGCTAATAAGCCATTAATCTCTTTTTTTACTATATATTTCTTTTTGACTATTACATTGTGAACAATAGCAAAGGATAAAAAAATCCATTCCATTCAAACAGAGGAACCAGTGTATGCAATTGATATTGCCTTAACAGTCAATTACTGTAACATATTGAGTAACAGATCGATCCTCAGTCCCTCCGGCTTTACGCCTGTGTCCATCCATCCCTGTGAATAAAAGATGACAAGATGTCGCCTACCGGCTATAGACTCCCACTCCCTCTGCTGGTGCTCATGGGCCTCCCGGGCCTCTCTACGAGCGCTCACACAGCATCCGATGGCACAGATCACCAGCAGCACTCCCAGCACTGGAGAACAAGGTTACAATAGGTTACAACCATTCAAAATTACAACACTGGAGAACAAGGTTACAACAGGTTACAACCATTCAAAATTACAACACTGGAGAACAACGTTACAAGAGGTTACAACCATTCAAAACTACAACACTGGAGAACAAGGCTACAACAGGTTACAACCCTCCATAATTACAACACTGGAGAACAAGGTTACAACAGGTTACAGCCCTTCTAAATTACAACACTGGAGAACAAGGTTACAACAGGTGTACGACCCTTAATATTACAACCTTCAGCACTCCCAACACTAGGCGACAAAGTTACAACAGGTGTACAACCCTTTATATTACAAGGTGCAGAATTCTTACCCTGGGAAATTTACCTCTGTCTCAAAGTCACAATCACTAGCACTATAATGTTCATTGTTTTATTTATTTATCTATTCATGTAGATGATATCATTGCCTATATAAATTAATAGATAAATTATGGTGTGTTGTAAATATAAAATATCAAATAATCAATACTTTATCATTAGATAAATTACTATGTATTTTGTATTATAGATAAACAATTATAGTTTATTAATCATTATGATTAATTTATCACTTATAATTTATAATACATCCAACACTGGGAAACAACAAAATATGATACAACATGTATACAACTCTTCAAAATTACAACCAATAGCACTATAACACACCTAACAGAAATAACCTGTTAATTCTACATTATACATTACACTATATTAATCTCTGTATATTCTATTCTTCATCACCATTTTGTCATAAAATTAAACCTCTAACATTTTAACAAGATTTTGGGTCTACCAATACGAAGAGAAGTGTAAGCATTTGATATTAAAGAAGACACAAAGGCATTGGGTCATTGAACTCAACTCAAGGAGTAAAAACATTTTAAATCGAATCTGACATTTTACAACCGCATTAACAATTAATCAGAATGTAAACGTTATCTCCCTCAAAGCTAATTACATTGTATCATATGAAATGTAGGTCAAGGTTTGACGATGTTTCATGAAATATGGCCTTAAAACGGTAAACATCTTCTACCGTACCTACTCTATATTGAATACAAAATTTGTAAACGTATACGAGACTACATGTACAGTGTACTGTGCCCTATAACTGACCCTGCTTTGCATACATGCATTGACATTGCAAATGACAATAACATTACTTTTTTCTTGCTTTATACATGTGATTACCAGAAATATTATGCTAATATTTTCTATCGATCCCTCAGGCCGAAAAATAAGTCGTTAGTTTCCTTCACTCACCTATAAAATACGAATAATCCCACATATCGCGTGTGTGCTTTGGTTAAGTAAGAAATAGTATGTGGTTGCTATATTTGTAACACAGTGTTACGTTACAGTCAATGACGCTGGTCGCTTGCCTTGCGGCATTGCATATCTATAGTAAACTAAATAGCGGTAAGGGAGAATGTTTTGGCACTTACCCAGCAGACTGGGCCCCACATGGCGGAAGGCCACTTTCAGGTTGGTGCCGTATCCCAGGCTAGTTTGCAGCACGCCGACCAACCCGAGAAACATCCCTAGAAATAACATGCAGATCCCGCACACCAGCTTGGCGTGCCCCGGGCCTTGTTGGACGTGGCCGTTACGAATCATATTTTTCTTTTCTTTTTTTCTAGACGTTTGCAGGGTTTAGAAACTACAGCTCTGGTGACCGAGGACGGGAACAGAAGCCGAAACGCCTCCACCCAGGGGCCCCGGTACGCATCGACGTTCTAGGAACAATAGACATACCCTGCAAAATGGAAAACGTAATTCTTAAAACCACATTCGTAAATATGTACACCCGATTCCATGAAATTCTCTTCTAGGAAAACAAACTATAAGTAATGCCAAAATATCTTGAAATTCAAGATTACCAAACCTGGGAATAAAATTCAGACAGTAATACCTACAATACAAGACATTGCAGCCAGCAAGTATGAATTATGTAGCCTGTGCCAGAAACAATACCTTACAGAATTGATGTACATCAGAAGCGATGTCTCGGTATGTACCGTGCATTCGAGCTGCATTCACAGTGTTTGAAGTTTACCGACCCCTAGCCTGGGCCACCATTCCCCGCGCGTTTTAATAAAACCCATAGATTATGCAAATGCGGGGTAATAAGTCTTCTCAGGCAGAACGTGGCCCATACGAAATGTATTCCAGTCCGGCTTCACTATGTTAAACGCACGGGTAGGTCAGCTACATTTGTGTCGTGCCGCTACGACTCTCAAGCATTATGCAAATCTATTGTTAAGTACATATATTTCACGGACCTGTGCTGTGGATTCTGAAGCTATCGCCATATCTTTGATTACTAAAAAGAAAAAAGAAATGAAGTTACTGGCATTTTCCTTTTTTATACCCGGCAATCAAAAGCTTTTTTTAAAAGAAATTTCTTTGAAAGAAAAGCAGTGTAAATTTAAATGCTTCATTAAAGTCAGGTACTTTTTACGTACTTTGTTTATATTTCATAAAACTGACTTTGTTAAGGTAATGTCGAATTCATACATCTACAAAGAGTCATGTGGACATTTGGATAATAGAGTTGCTGCAACAGTATCCATTCTTAGTGAAAAAACAAAACAACAACATGTTCGCACCAAATAAAAGACTAAGAGTCGATTAATTTTGCCATCATTCTGGCAAGAGAGTCATTCCGAAGAAATTCTCCAAACAGTCTAAAGGTTACTATTTTTGGTACCTACAAGAAATCGAATTCTGATGGCCTAATCTCCAATACTTCATTTGCCGAAGGACGGCTCAATGCTTTTTAGTAAATTGCCTTCACTGGGGACTCACACAGGCAGTCTATTACACATGGCTTCAATATTGATGTCCGATACACAAAAATCAAGCGAGTAAGAAAATATGTCGGCCGAGGGACTGCGATAATTCGTTTGCATACAAGGGCACGACTCTTAAGTTTGCCTCATAAACACCTTTTTTTATTTATTAAGATTTACTGAATTATTAGAGAGGTGTCTGCAACAACTGTATATCCTTACAAGGCCGATATTTTGAGAGTACAGTAACTGTTGAAAACAAATTATTAAAAATGTAGATGAATTAGAGAGCCTCTTCCAGGGAATGATTCGGAAGCCAAATAACTGTACATGGGATGGAAGAATATCCCTTCAGCTACAAGACTGACTGAATTTGGTTTCTTCAAACTCTTTTATTTTAGTGAAATTAACAGAAAAAACATTATTTTCACGGCAAAATTGATAGGTTAAATAAACCAAGCAGAGAAAAAGAATTTTACGGCAGATACGACTGGTGTTGCCAGAAAGATACAAATCTCAAGTATACTAAAATTATGAAGAAAATCCTAATACTCAGTTTATCCACGCTAACCCTAATTTAGGGTACGCTTAATTAGAGTTAGCCACTAACCCTAATCTTCGGGTTATCTAACCCTAAATTAACGTTATCGTTTGCGTCATTTGCAAACTGTATATGGCCCAAAACTAATGAAGCCGTCAGCCAAGATATTTATCATATTTAATAATAGCGCTCCTAGCGGAATGTGTAGGAAGCGACCTTACTAGTCTAAACAGGTTTTAAAACGGTTACAAATAAAACAATCAAAGGCTATCCCGATGCGTTATGTAAAATCTCACACATTCTTGATTACATTTATGAACTTTCTCTCCCTAACTCTGTCATCCAACACATCGCGTCATGATAATGGAGAGCAGGTGCGTAACAAGTTTGACTTTTGACCTTTTAAACTGACAGGTGCCACTTCCGGGAACAACACGACAGACAACTTTTCCCAGTAAAACCTCCGAAAAATTACTCGTGGACACATTTTGTCACACCTCCGGGTCTCGGCACGTCCATGGACCGACGGGACTCTTCAGGTACTTTGAAATGCCGGCTACATTTTGTGTTGAGGCTGCACGAAACACGAATTCCGATATATATATTTATATTGAGCCCTGTGTTTGCAGTTCGGGTGTCGGCGATGTTTACATGTTCAATATTTAATGCAACATCGCCGTCCCGTGACATTCCCGTGGTTAACGATGTCAAACGTTTAAGAGTTGTTTATAGACTTCAAAATCACAGGAATCTTTAGCTGAATATGACAGCTGACAGAGTTCTTGGTGCCCCCCTCCCTCCATTGCGTTCCTTGTGTTTGTGTTGTCATGAAAGGTAATGTATGATGGGTTGCGTGTTTATTTTATGATCAATCCAAGAGTAAGTACCACTGTGGAAACTTAACAATCAGTTTGAGCTGTCACGTGTTCTATATCAGTTTATGATGCTTATTATGTTCAAATCATAATATTACAAGCAGAATCTAATGCGCTAAAAAAGTGATATAGACATTGCCATCATATATCTCAATGCTCTAAGGTTATGTCGGTGAGCAACTACAATATAGACTGAAATTTGATTCATGATAAAAAGTGGTGTGTAAAGATATAGGAAGAGACGTCATTAGTTTAAAACTAATCTTATTCTGCCAGCAAAATTTGCACAAAAAAATGCAATAAATCTCAGCGTTTCAGATCATCAGGTCAAGATTTTTAAAAATTCCCTGGGGAGCATGTCCCCAGACCCTTCTAGGATTGTCAATTGCCTTTGGTAGTTGGCATTATGTCATGATAAAAGTTGAGATGACAAAAAAAATTAAGCTGGCTAATATAGTATATACTAAGTAATTTACTATATACAAATGTATTACACAATCTTTTACAGGCTGGGGTTAATTGTTGGGCAGCCAGTCACTAAGGAGTGTGCTTTACTCAGGCTAGTAGGAAAAAGGACCCAAATATATGATATTGATTGATCAAAACAACATCTGTCTCTTTGGTTCAATGCCTTTCAGAAATGGACAAGTTGACTCCAACGTTTGACTCATGTCTCCCTTGCACCTTTTGTACCGTGTTGTATACTATTGAGTCATGTACCAGGTGGTCACCGCTCAATTGTCTTGCATTTAGGCACAAAATAATCAATTTTAACCTTCTCTCCTGCTGCCTAATGCCTGTAACCAATATTACCAATTTGTTTTATATAGAAATTAAGAACTTACTTTTTTTAAAACTGTAAATACCCACAGCTTGTGTATAATAATATAAAACGAGCTCAATGGTTTGTAAATACCAATGCAATTCAGACTTTTGTCTACCATGTTTGTATTGAAAATAAAGTTTCAAAGTTTCAAATTACAAAGTTGGTGCCAAAAAGAACTAAGGACTCTCATTCTCAGAAAAAATGAAAGCGTCTCAAATGTAGCCCTTGAAGGTCTATTAACATACCATAATTTTATAGTACAAAAAGTATTTTTGAGTGTTTGGAGACACCATTGCATCATGTATACTTATAGTATATTGATTTTTTCTTGTGTTTAACCTAAGAACCCACAACAAAGAGATTTTGTAGCCATTGGCTATAACCTTAGTGTGCTAATGGTTAAAAGGATCACAATATAGCAGTAAAACATTGTGTTTGTTGTCAGTATCTTGTATTGTTGATACAATCTTGTAGATCCTTGTTAGGTCCCTCAATACATGCAATTATTGTTGGCTAGCAAACATGTTTGTATGCTTGTAGCTGTTAAATGCAGGTCAAATTACAGTACTAGTACATTAGCCAGGTTTCCAATCAATATTCCGAGTGTTGTATTAATCCAATTTCTACATGGGACACCATTGGCTGCATGTAGAAGATGGTGTAATCTTACTAAACTTGGGGTTTGTCAAATACTGACTATATCTATTACAGCCTGGTACAAAAAATGCTGTTGGTAATTGTATGCATGTAATCTATTTCTATTTGTTCAAGGCATTAAGCCTTACATTTGCTATGCAACAGTCTTGCCAAAACATTCATGATATTTATAGCAATCATAATACAATCTTAATGTTTAATTGACATTTATTTTTTATAGAGCAATGCTACATCACTATCACCTTTATTGTTTCTTCCTGCCTTGTATGAAAACAAATTGTCTGTTCACCCCTCTCCTGGCATATGAAATGGAACATCCCTAAATCTATCCATCCGTCCCTTTGTATACAGGCCTTGATGAATCTCCATAAATCCGGAATCAGGTCACATCTCCAGCTGACCAATCCCCATCCCCATCTCATCCGGGGGCATCCACCAATGAGGAGGCAGGAGACAGATGGATTGGGGCTGGTTATCCTCCCTCCTGTGGCTTGATTGACGGTTAAGGTGAAGGTGTGAAGAGGTGCCCGGCTACAATATGGTGCTGGAGTCTCTGGTGGCCGGTCTGCTGAACACCTACCTCGGCAGATACATCGAGGATTTGGACACCACAAATCTGGGCATCAGCCTCTTCGGCGGTAAGGACCAACTCTTCTGTCAACACTGCTAACACGTCGCGTCAAGGAAAAATTGTCGTACTTTGATTTCGTGTTTGGAAATCAAATCTAATCATTTGTCACGCCATGTTATTTCACTTATATCAAGGGACATGTCATTGAGTTGTTATGTCTAAAATGGGTCTTGTTGATTTTTCATCTATAATTTTGCTATAATCATTTTCACGTTATCAATTATATTTGGACATCATTTGTGGGGCAATGTCATTTCACATCTCTAACATATCAGGGGACATGTGTTGCTTTCTAAAATGGGTCTTGTTGAATTTTTAATTTGTAATTTCAGTACAATTATTTTCATGTCATCAGCTGCAGCAATTATATCCGGGTTGTTAAAAATGTATGCTGACAATGTGCTCCAGTGAATTTTAATTGTCATAGCAATTATCGTTGCTATATTATTTTTTGGGGAATCCGGTTTCTGTAATTGTTAGGGAGAGGATTGTATACTTAGAGGGCGGATATGCAAATCAGTACCAAGGACAGTGTCAAATGTCATCCAGTCTGGATGTATAATGTTATGTAAAAGGGCATCACAAGTCGCAGTAAACAATATTGTTGCGCTTTTCCGGTTGGATTTATTAGCAAAAAGGACCCGGAAGCTACCACGAAATGATTTGCTTTGATTGCATTTTGGAAAAGAGTACGAAAACATACATATAACCTACGTGTACAGTAGTCAGAATGTATGTATAGCACATCCAGTTCTTGCACAGTATAGGGCCTAACTATTATGTGTGAGATGCTTAATGAATAAAATATGTGGTGTGCATTGTACATGTACCTACAACCATTCAGCTTCCTCTTAATACATCATAACATCATACTGTAAATTCATTCCTTTCGTGGTGGTTTTATTTTGTGGTACTGTAGAAGGCAAAATGAAGTTTTTACAGTGGTTAACATTAATTTTGCAGTTGAAACAATTACATAGTACAGTGTAGTTATACTAAGAAGATGTATTTGCAGAGATGAATTTGCATAATGGGGGAGTCAGTGTGAAAATAAAGCAAATGCAAAAGTTGCAAACTTTACAGTATATGATACAATATAAACTCATGACAATACGACCCATACCTTGGGGACCAGTGTTATTTGAGGCCTTTTTCCTTTTTCATAAAATTTCATTATGTGCCATACATGTTCTTTTGGCTATATCATAATTATATTTAACTGTATATATTAAATAGGTAGTTAGCTGTTTAATATATAATCAATTGGCTTAGTGATTCCATTTAGAACATCTCCTAGATCAATATGAATTCTTTTAAAATCAAGGTCAACATACAACAGCACCGTTAGCTTCACTAGTCTAATAACACGTACTTCCAAATGGTGTTTACATAAAGTCTTATTTCCTCTGGATGCAACATGACTGTTGAACAATGCATCGTTCAGTAAACACAACAGTATAGTTTGTGTCTTCAAGCTCACTCATCATCATCATGCATGTAAAGGACAATCAGTTTTGGAGGCTTAATCTCTCATTAGCTTGGCGTGTTGCCTGCAGACAGGATATTATGGAACTAATTGGCATGTCTACTCTTTAATGTGTATTATCTATCTTATAATACCTGTAGGGCAGGGGGCATTGATCAGATAATGGCTTTTTGAAAACACAACCTTTAAGCTGGTGTGTTATGCCGAAGGGCGGCTATACCGGCTCTACAGATACAGAAGCTGATACAGATATACCTCCCTCCCATTTTATAGATTATCATCTACATGAACTATAGAAAATGTATGTTTTGTTTCTTGCTTGAAGTTTATAGAAATTGAATTTAAACTGTTGTGTAAAACTATTTCTCAATTGGACTAAGCAGCGTGAGAATTTCGTCTACTACTTTTATGTATTTTTTAACACCTGTTTGTTTAGTTACATTTTTACTCTGCTCTTGTCTCAAGGTGAAACTGGTCTCTTCCCTGCTGTAAATGTTAACATTCCGTGTGCATCAGGAGTGGTTTAATTTGCCAGAACAAGGTCTGCCCTGACTACAGGGACGTGGTTTCCAGTACACATCAGGAATTATTAAACAGGGAAAGGGAAAAGGAAACTCCTGGAAAGCAGACCTCAATTGATTTATTGTATGATTTACCAGGTGTAATATGATTGTGTATTTTTATCTACGGATTTCCTTTTTTTTTACAAAACAGAATCGGATGAAAAATCCTCTTGGTACTGCCAAACCCATTAAGCAGTGTGGGCCATTTGAAATCCCCAAGCTCTTGTGCTTAAATGTCAGTGCAATTAGAATTTGCAAGTGGCTTAGCCATATTAGATTAGCCCTTCAAGTAGGTATACTCTCTACAAGGCTTTTTAATCTGGTATGCAATTTACCTGACAAATAATACCTTCTGGCTTGGAGGCTGCAATCAGTTTATAGTTGCATGAGATCTCTAATACTTTTCTGTTGGTTAAGTTACCAAAAAGTACTCTTTTATTCCTTTCATTGCAGCCATATCAACATTGCAGACTTAACAATTTTGCCTGAGTGGCATTGATATTTTCAATGCACGAGTTTATGTTAGGAGATTTAGATTTGTAATAAATTACATTTAATGTTTCTTTTTTCCCTTTTAGGTGATGTTGAACTGACAGACCTTCAACTGCGTCCAGAGGCTCTGGTAAGTTTCCCAAACAGAGAACTAACTAACACACATCTCTTTCACAAAACCTGCAAATATACCTGGTCCAACACAATTCTTTTTTCATAGATGTGCCTTGCATCCGTAGCAGATATACATTGACAGGGAAAAAGATGCCTTCCTTGAACTGCATAAGTTTGTTTCAGCAGTTGTGTTTCACATAATTATATAATGTACAGTCATTATGTATGAACATAAAGATTACAAAATATAAAAACAAACACTCAAAATATTGTTTTCCATATTTTTTTTAGTATGAACTGGAGCTACCTTTGGAAGTGAAGGCTGGATATGTAGGTAAGGATTCCGAACAGCTTTCAGTGTGTCTCAGAGACTTTTTTCCTTTTCCCTTTTTCATTTCCTTGCAAATATTCAACATTGTGATTTAAATTTTCAATCTTTGCAGAGAAACTGTCAGTGGACATCCCATGGACCAGTCTGTATACGTCCCCTGTTAAAGCCAGTTTGGAGGGAGTGTATGTGGTCGCTGGACCTGTAACAGATAGGTAACGTTACAATGGATATGCTGTACCAGTCCTGTATGTTATAAATTTCATATTTTCAGTAATTTTTATATTGATATTTGATAACATATTAGGGTCACTGATAAATGCACAAAAATGATGCGGGTAATATTGTTGGGTACATGTAGCGGCAAAAAACTTTGGTGCTAATATATTGTTACACTGTTGTTGTTTCATAAGATTATCATTCATTTCAGAAAATATGATGCTAAGCGAGAAAAGAGACTCCTGGATGCTGTCAAGAGGAAAAAGTTACAGGAGCTGGACACGCCTCAAAACAGCCCTGCACAACCAGGTTATATGGACAGCTTACATTAAAAGACTTTGTTTGAAATTGTCAATTTTATATGTAGACAGTTGTAAGTTCTAAAATGTGAAATGTCTTACCCTGAATGCTTCTTACCTACAGATGATGAAGAGGAAAAGAGAAAAGAGCAGACGTTTACAGAAAAACTGACAGCTACAATTCTGAACAACCTACAGGTATGGAGACTTGGTTTTCCTGCACCTATACTATATTCTATGTGAGTCTCCATTACGTTTATTTCTTATCTTGACTTAGTTTGGCTATTTGAAAGTTATTTGAAAGTAATGTAGTTAACAATTTGTAGATCATTGAGTGCATTATTATCATATACTTCGCACAATATCATATGTTTGCTGTATCCATTGGCACTGTGCAAAATTAGCAAGAAAAAGAATAAAAAAGAAAAACACTGCAATTTTATTGTGATGGAAACATTTTTGGAATGTCTTAAGTTTGAAATTCTGCACAAACCTGATGACCTTGGTTTTATGTTTGACCTTCAGCTGACCATCAAGAAGATTCACATCAGATATGAAGACAAGGTACAGTATGCTGTCAATTCTGTTTTTCATTTTTTTCTGTCCAAGACAGAAGTAATATCTTAGTACTAAACTTGTTCGCTAAAAGGACTCTAAGGCTCCATTCCCACTATTGTCAGGATTGAGCTGATTAGAAGTGATTCGCTTTGATCTGGCTTTGATCTGGCTTGAAGCGGGATGGACTTGAATTGAAGCCGGATCAAAGCGAATCAATTTGGCACAATCGGGACAATTTTATCCTAATTATGGCTATTGTGAATGGAGCCTAAGCTTACATACAATACACCTGATATCCAAGTCTGGCACCTGTATCATGCACCTGACACACCTACTCAACTCAACTGCAGGTGTCCAACCCTTCTTCCCCGTTTGCCCTTGGTCTGACCTTGCGGAGCTTCAGTGGACAGTCTGTTAACTCCAGATGGGAGCCTGTCCAGGTAGACTCCAGGGCCACACAAATGTTCAAGGTAAGAGGAAAAATCAGCCCCATCAGTCATGTGTTTCAGAAAATCATTAGACTTCAAAGCAGTCACTACAAGTTTTTTTTTTTTTCACAAAGATGTTGATGAATTAAAAAAATCCTACTAAAATCTATTAGGTATGACAGATACAAGATACTACTAAATAATTATGATATAAGATAGTAGTGGAAAGCTGATGTGTTACGCCAAAAGGCGGTTGTACCCGCTATACAGATACAGATACAGATACAGAATCTGATACAGAAAGCATGATATCTTCAAGTTTGTAGTCAAACATTTTCATTTTACCACCTAAAATACTGTTATTGCCTGAAATTGTGTGTACAAAATTCTATGTAATTCTGACTGATGGAGTCTGTAAATAGAGTCGGAGTCCATAAATATGCTGTTCAGTTCACTGTTCTTTAATTTTCCAGCTCATCAAGCTAGAAGACCTTGCTGTGTATTGGAACACGGGGTGTAAGAAACTTGTCTGTGACTACCTGACTACAGACTTGTGGAAGGTACGAGAAGGGTATTTCTGTCTCTATTACTGTTACAAAATAGGTAGTGTGTGGTGCCTTACACAAGTAAGTAGAAAAGATACATTTAATGTTTACCTTAGTTTACATGGTCTAGCCTAACAAACTTCTGCTTTGTTTTTTCTTAATACTATACACATACATTTTGTATGATGACCAGCCCTTAAAACTCCTGCCACTCCTGCCACTTCCTACATAATAAAATCCAACACCATTGAGTGTAAGCTACAGCACCAGTTACCATGGTGACAGTCATTTGGCCCAGGTCATTGACCTAATTTGTTTGGAAAAGAAGAGGATGAAGAAGAAATGAAGCAAAACAAAATTCTGCAAACTAAGATAAATCTAATCTTTGCTTCCTAGGACCTGATGGAGGAATGTCTGGACACCTGTCGGATCATGAAGCAGGACCTGGACTTCGTGGTCAGGCCGATCTCTGCTGTCACAAAGATCGCCTTCGACAAGAGTCAGATGGTCGACCTGGACAAACCACGACTGTGGACAGACCTGGCCGTGCAGGAGATCATGGTGTCACTGTCAAGGCAACAGGTACGGTGTGATTTTTTTAAAAATATGCATATCTGTATATTGTATTACTGTTTCATGACATGTACAAGATAATGCAATTCCACCGACTATGTTAAGTCTCTTCCTGACAAATATTTCCTGCCTGAATACAACCAACAAGCCAACATTCACCAGTCGTCCATAAACTAGCATTACATATTCACCTATACCCTCCATCAACTTATAATTAGTTCAGTGCCCAGAAGAGATTTTTTGGTTTGTATTGAGCAAACTAATGATAAACAGCACCTGTCAGATGAAACAGTAATTTGACTTTAATTGGAACTCATTCGTTGTAGTTAGACAATTACTCTCACTGGTTTATTCCACTCTTTGATTTCATTCCATGATCTCCACAATTTTATACTCAAACTAGAAAGGCCAATATTTGCTTTGGAGCAAATATAGCGATGGGTTCACCACATTTTACCACATGGCAGGGAAAGAATGAGAAACACAAGGGAAAACAATGCTTTACATTGATATAACTATAGTATGAAGTAACATACAACTAAGACTACAACAGTTGGATAGCTATTCCCTACATTATTGGTTAGGATTGCATAATGCAAACTGTTGATTTTCAAGATAAAAAGAAGCGTTCATAGCCCGCATTCCAATGCTGGAGCAGGAAAGCTTAAAATACCTACCAAAACACTTGAATACAGACATACTGTCAGTATGGCATGGCTCTGTGCAGGTGTAAATGAAGTTAAGCCAGTTAAATCCCAACAGCCAATCAGCAAGGAGAATAGAGGAAAGCTGCATGCCTATTGGTTGATGCCTTGCATGCCATTGTGATGACTCATGTCCAAATGTGGTAAACACTGCACACTTACACAGTAATACATTAGCTATTACACAGCCAAAAAACTCAAATAAAACCATTCTAAAAGCCTGTATCACAATAATTTAAAAAACGCCTAGGGGTATTTGCCCACTGTACCTCCATACCAAATTTCAGGACCTTAGGCCCTAAAATGAAGAAGCTGAATCCATTTAAAGATATGGCAGGAGGAGGAGAAGGAGGAGGAGAAGGAGAAGAAACATCAGAAAAAGCAATATGGTTTCACCACACCACTTCGTGGTGTGGTGAACCCATAATGATAAATACCGGTATTATTCTTTCCTCCAGTTCAAGAGTATGGTGTGTCTGGTAGAATCCTTCAAACTCATGGCAGTGAACCGGCTGTACAGAAAGTACCACCCAAACCTCCCTGTCAGGGGGAATGCCAAAGCCTGGTAAGATTTATGATGATAATGAATTTCTTCTGCTGTCATTTTTTGAAACACATTTTCCTTTATAACATACATCGTTTTTATAACATATATCTATCTCTTACAGGTGGCACTATGCTTACAATGCCACAGTCCAGGAGCACATCCGACCTTACTCATGGGAGAGTATCAAAGCTTACAGGTACAACCACTTAATGAGGGTTTATCACAGTCACATCATAAGTAAGACTTTGTTATGGGTAGATGTCTAGTATCTGTATACAGAGTACAGTAAAGTTAATTGATATATTACAAGGCATAGTACTACATTCACCTGTGCAGTAGAGTGCTTTCCTTGCATTCGGTAGGTGGTGAGTTTGATCCCCAGCCGAGTCATATCAAAGACTTTAAAAGTGGTACATACTGCTTTCAGAGCTTAGCTTATTGACAAGAGTATTGTAATTAAACATACACCACTACCAGTGAACTAGCCCCCTGCTGTATTGCACAACTAAGGGCTATTAAACTGGAGATGGGTGCCACCCTATGCCACCCTGTGATGAAATGATGCTGTTGTCCTGCAGACGAAAGTTCCAGAGGTACCAGGTTCTGTACAAGGAGAAGTTGGAGGAATCAGAAGACGTGGCCGCCATCTCAGGTGTGCTGGAGGAGTTAGAGTCAGACCTGAACCTCACCAGCATCCTGGTAGCCAGGCAGCAGGCTAAACTACAGGTAGGTAACACTAAGCATGGCATGCATGGTGGCAACATTGTTAGGGTTTAAGGGTTGTTGACCTAGTATGTATTTTTTTTACATTTTGGCTTTAAATTCCTAGCAGGCCCCATTGACTGTGTGCATTTGCAAATTATTGCACTTAACGTGCTCATGACACCAGAAAAAAAACTGAAAAATACATATTAGGACATCCCAAGCTACCAATAGTATGAGGAAGGTATTTATCGTTATATGATAATGATTTTCTTCCAGTTTGTTAAAAAGGAGAAAGTGCAGCCCAAGAAGAAGAAACCCTCAGGAGGAGGAGGAGGCTGGTTTTGGGGATGGTTTTCTGAAAGTATCGAGGAAGAAGAAGAGATTGAAGAGAAAGAGTCAGGTCAGAAACAAATTATGCTGTTATGCTAATACTACAATAGCATGCTTTTATGTTATGCTAGTATGATATGCTTGGACATAAAATTAGTAAGTGAATTTTGTACTGTTTTGACAGTGCTGTACAGAAATAATGACCCTCCAACCTTCCAACAGATTTCCTGTCCAAGCTGACAGAGGAAGAGAGAAAGAAGTTGTATGAAGGTATTGGTTACAGTGAAGATGATGTTCTGCCCGACAAACCAAAGGAGGTTGGTTCCGATTTAAAATCAATCCATTTTTACCTCCATGAAAAATGGAGGTATTGTTTTTGGCGTGTCTGTCTGTCTGTATGTATGTATGTGTGTGTGTCTGTGTGTCTGTGTTTCCGCAACTTTGTGGTCAGCATAACTTCAGAACGCCTTTATGGATTATGATGATATTTGGTATGTTGGTTAGTCTTAGGAAGACAAACGTCAAGGTCAAATATGGGCCTCCTGGTGGATGACCTTGGTACTGCAGCAGAACTTCCGGTTTTTGTATCTTTTGTCCTGAACATGCTATGGTCTTGATGTTTTGGTGACAGATTGCTTTTCCTGTCAGGAATAAGTGGTGTGAGTTTGGTCCCCCTAGCAGCTTGTTTTGGAACTGCAGGGCACTTTCTGGCGAAATGTTTAAAAGCCAATAAGTCCAGATAGGAACAACATATTTTCAAAATTTTTGGTGTGTAGGTAGCTAAGAGAGAGATGTACATGATTAAATGCAAATTATGCAAATGAGGACTTTATTTGCATAATTAATGAGGAAATTCTATGATTACATTGTATTACATTATACTACTTTCATACATGTAATGTATGTAACCTATGGCAGGCAGAACATCAACAGATACTAATTATGCAAATGATGACCTAATTTGCATAATTTATGCAAAAATTCTATGATTTCTTAATGGTGAATAATGGGAATGTCATACTTTGGACATCTGTAAGTTAATCAAAAGTTAACATACATCACGATGCATATATCATGTTAATGCGGAGGTAATTTGCATAATTAAAGAGGAAATTTACATTTACATATCAATCCCATATTTCATGGAGGTATGAAATCTCGGAATTCTTGTTTATCAATATGAATTGTAATTAAAGGGTTGCTATTTTGTTAAAACTTGATGAAATGATGAAATTTTACATTCAAGTTAGTTTCAAAATGATTTATAACAATTATGGGACATTAGTTTTGATTCATTGGAATTACAGTATTGTTACTTTTAACATTAATATTCCTTTCTTTCTTCTCCAGTATGTTGAAAATCGCTTCAACTTCTCCTTAAAGAGCTGCTGTTTTAAACTCAGGAACCATGGGTAAGATATACCACCTGTGCTCAATGACAAATATATGTGACGTAAAGACTTCCACCAATCAATGTTTAAGAGATACCATGCATTTTGATGGCAACTGTTTTTGAAACAATCTATTGTTAACACTGTAACTGGTAAAGGAAGGTATAAAGAAAGATTCTGAAGTTGTTGCTTGTTCATTTGTTGTTTTAGGATGGATCTTGTGAATTCCAAACTGGAGGAGGTGTTTGCCATGTTTGAACAGAGGCCTTCAGCTAAAGCATTTAGGTAAGACTCAATCTTCAATGGTCCTGTCGATGTCATCACACATTAAGAATTGGGGAGAAACACAAGACTAAGTGTAGAATGTCACCTAAAAGGACTCAGAATGGTTTTTTGAAGATTTTGGTACTGAAAAGGAATAAATGTCAGTTTAAGTCATTTGAAGTGATAGTATGAAATATACAACTCTTTTTTGGAGCTAGCTTGTAAGGACACAGCCAAAAACAGGGTTTTATTGTGTCTGGAGAGTGTTATTAACAAGACTGCTTACAAGACATTGACCTAAATGAATCAGGGTGAGAGATGGGTGTCTTGAATCTTTTTTTCTATTTTTCAGATTCAGCCTGTCGACAGAAAACCTGATAGCAGAAGGTGTGAAACAGGATGACAATAGTGCCACTGTCATCGTCAAACCTGACATAGCATACAAAGGTATTTCCTAACTTTCTTATTCCAGTAGTAAAAAAAGCAGCAGAAGATAAAAGATGCACAATGTAACCACAATGCCATCAACATTTCTGGGGAAATCAAAACAATGTTTGCTGTTAACATTTTTTAAAATTATTCTCATTGTGATTTTATCATAACCATTTCATATCAAGTGTGTACTGGAGAGATTATTATGTTTACAGCACTTGAATTACTGATGAAAGATATTAGATATTAATTGTTTCATCACCTTCTATTCCCTACAAGCTTGTAATGAATTAGCGTCAACTAAACCCTTCTGAATTACTACATTTTTGTACTACTACTCTGTTTTAAGCTGAAGCTCCCCATGACAAAGAGCAGAAGCACGTTCATTTTGCAGACATGAAGGAAGAAGATCTCATTCAGTACTTGCGAGAAGCGAGTGTTGTACAGATGTGGAAGCCCAAAGAACTGGGTATACACGTACCCCGTAACTAGCAATCTTTGGTGATATAAATTATGGCCGGAGGACAAGGTTGCTTTGCCTAGTACTCTATATGGTGAATCTCACTCTCACTATCCAGACTTTGAGTATACTGAGTCTCTGACACACGTAGGTGGTGAAACTTTCCGGGGGAAGATGCAGCAAAGCTGAACTCTCGACCTTTCTAACTGCCATTGCAGCTTTTCTAGGCATAGACACTCCTTTGATAATGTTCTAGGCTTATTTTTGGTGATGCCTCAGGGGTGGAGCCATTTATCAGGTCATATTAATTTTACTTCGTTTAAAAGCGGGAAGGGGGCTATGCAGGTGGATTGTTCTCAAAAATTGCAAAAATTACAAAAATTTCATTTTCTAGGTGGTGGTTCTTTCTGGGCTTGTAGGGATAGTTGCTTTACAGTAACATTTTCCTTGCTACATGTAGAGGAAATATGATTATGTACTAAATGACATATCAGTAACTCTTGTTCCATTTGCTGGTAGGTCCAGATGAGAAGCTGTTTAGTGCCGAAGTCGAGATGAACCCCCTCTACACCACGGCTGACTCTGCACTCAGAGTCGCCGTGCAACCAGTCAAGATACTATATGATGCTGTAAGCAACATTTTTGAATTTCTAAGCTTTTTGTCTACTTTCAGATTGTACTTTAAATACAGGATGCATACATGTAGAAGAAGTATGCCATGTATTTAAGATATGTAAGTGCCTTATCTATGCTAATGATTGCTTAATGATTACTTGATTGATGTATTGAAGAAGGACAAATGGTCTTTTCCTTCATTAGCATCATAGCATCAACATGATATTGAGTTAATATTTTCTATTGTATTTTGCCCTTACAGGTGACAGTTGCAGAAACTGTACATTTCTTCTCCATGTCCAGCAGCAGTTTTGAAGAGTAGGTTCTGAATGATTCTGCTATGTTGGTATCAATTTTGTAAAAATTGTCTATCCTCGACAATGTAGAAAATTCTGTAGAACTAGACCATACATAACTCAAGGTTCTTGTATTTCTGTGCCTCTCTTCTTAATTGTAAACAAATAAAGTATGAGTGAAGTCACAGTTTAGCATCTCTAACGTTTCAGCACTAAGGACAGGACAGTAATTTTGTAAAGGATATGATGGACTTGTTTTTTCATCTTTCCAGGTTGAAGAATGCAGCCAACAGACAGCTTGCCAAGCTGGCTAAAGTTGGTCGCCTCAGTGTTCAACATGCCATCGAAAAACACAAGGTAAGAACAGCTACCATTCCTGTGTTTGAAGTTTGAAATGTCTCTAATATTCTCTTAATGAATTGTGTTTGAAAACTCATTTTGGCTTATTTGCTGACACATTCTTGCTTCTTAGATTGTTTATATTGACTCAGAGGTTTTGATAGAAATGTATAATAGCAATGATGTCTATTTTTGCATAATTATATAGATCTGATATCTGTCAAATTCAATTATGCTAAGTTGACTGAAAATGAAAAGTCTGTAATCTTTCAGTTTTCAAAAGTTTAAAGTTAATATTTCTTTGCCCCACAGACCCTGAATGTAAATATCAACCTGAAGGCACCCTACATCATCATTCCTGAGGGTGGAAGCTTCTCAAGGTATGGCTGGAAGAATCAATCAATCAATCAATCAATCAATCAATCAATCAATCAATCAATCAATCAATCAATCAATCAATCACCAGCTCAAGGACACTAAGTGATATTCTTTCTTACTTATTAATGTTTTCATTTTTTGCGAGATTAGCAAGTCAGCACTCTTTCACAGTCATTGTAAAATATATGAAATTATATAGATTTATTATCAACAACATTTTCGAAATTTTTTTTTTGTTATTCTTTTGATGCAGTAACAGTCGTCTGTTGATGGCTGATCTTGGCAGCCTACAGATCAACAGCGACCTCCAGCCAGATGATGTGGTACTGCAGGTCAGTGTATTCTTTAAAAAATAAATCCTGCCATAACTGCATAATATGATACATTATAACAATACTGCATCATGTTTGTGGAGTATCTGAAAAACAACAAACCTTGTGGTTTATACAGGGTGCGACCATGAGTGAACTGGTTCAACGCCTGTATGACCGCTTCAACATTGACATCAGCAACATTCAACTCCTGTTCCTACAGCCAGGTAGGTTTGCCAATTGTCCAAGTGTTTTAAAGCTTTAAAGCATAGTTTACACATTCACTCATATTTTTACTACTGACAGTAACTCAATTAAAATAGCTAGTATATAGAGTGTGATACTTTTATTTCAGCATGATAGTAACCATGTCTTAGCCAAAGAAAAGTGTATGACATTAGATTTTGGTGCCCCTAGCACCTTCCAACTGAACTGCAGCTGTTTGTATTATTATAACTTTATTATTATATAATAATATAACTTAATTATTATATAATAACTTCAAACAGGTGTTGATATAGAAGAGGCTCGGCAGGAAGAAGACTCTCCACATCACATACTTCCCAAGATGGGACTCCAACTCTCCCTGTACAACAGTATCAACCCACAGTACAGGGCACAGCCAAGGTATGAGGTCTTCTCTGTACAACTCTGTAATTAATATGTGGTATGCATGTCTGTTCTTTCTTTGTGTGATATGATCACTGATATCATGTTGAAATGATGTTAACGCTGCATCATTTCTTCTCAAGGCACAAAATGGAAGCCCTGCTGCCATCTTTGAAGCTGAACATCTCAGAGACCAACATCTTTGCTTTGCTCCAGGTAAGGCCATTGTGTCCTTCTCTATTTTCTGCTATATCAGGAGGGTCCCACTCGGGCTGGGCCCTGTCCATTCTCTAATGTTTTATCTCTCACAGGTTTATGTCTCAGAAAATTGAAGACATTCATATATAGGAAGGTTTGGTTTTCTGACAGAAAATGTTGTCATACATCTTACATACATTTTAACTTGTCATTGTTTTTTCCAGTTCCTGAATTCCTTCCCATCACTGGCAGAGTCAGAACTTAGTGTGGATGAAGTTGATTCCACTGATATCCCCAGCAGTATGCCTGCGATGGTGAGGCCACCTATCAGTTTGTTATAGAACTGCAAATTGCTAGCTTAGTACATGTTTCATAGTAAGTGTTGTGCATTGTAGCTCCATGGCTACATTTTACCTATTGGTAAATAAATATATTTAAGACTTTATTTCTCTAAGACAAATTTTTTTTGAGAGTTTATTTAACTATCATATTGAATCATTATTATATCCATTGATTTTCTGTTGCTCTGTTGATAATCTCTAGGACTATCGTGAGGTAGTGAGTGATGAGACAGTGAAGCAACTACGAGCTGTTAGACGGGCCTTGAACCAAGCACCAGTAGACAAGGAGAAGGTTGTTCTGGTGACAGAGGAAAGTGTGGAAGCTGAAGAGGTTGGAACTGCACCTCAACCACCCATTCAGGAAGGTATACTGTTTTATTCCTCACTTGTCTGTATCTCGGAGAAATGAAACAAAGGATATGATTTTGGTAGAATATGACAACACCATTGTTATTTTTACAAAAAAAAAGGTATGAAAAAGTACCAAAAATACATCACAAAGAAACTTTTAAGATTATTCATAATTAAAATGTGTATGGTATTATGATGTCTGTTTAACATTTCCATTTTTTGTCGCAACTAATTGCCTAGGATCAGCACCAGAGAAGTTTTTCTCTGCATCGGAGCATTCAGACGAGGACCTGAGTATATGGTCCAGGTAGGTTTGTTGCATTCTTACAATAAAAAAACTAATTTTAGACCATATCTTTGAGTCCAACGTATAGAAAATCATCAAGTTCAAAACCCAAAGATCAAGTTTCAGCACTATAAAGTTTGAAAAGGATTAACATGTATCTAGTACATTGTATATGAGGCAAGATTTCACCTGTAAGGATTTGGCTACAACATAATCATATGATAATATGCTTACAGAAAATTGTTTAATATTTACATTGTTACTTACAGATCAAAGTCTTTGAATGAGCCAAGCATTGATGACACCACTTCTGAGACCAACCTGGTGAACTCACTGGTCAAGCTGACCGTCCGTGAGGTGGTCATCTCTGTGTCCAAAGCTAAAGACACGGTAGAGGAGCCATACCTGATGCTGAGACTGGACGGCATGTGTACTGAGCTGGCTATGACTACCTATGGTCTGTCTGTACAGGCTGGGCTCACAGAGTTACAACTGGTGGACAAGTTACACAAGGGTGGGGCTATTTTGTTTGTACACGTTTTGGCTCTATATAATGTCTCTGAATATTGTCTCTGAATAAAGATTTTGGTTATTTTGTTATACTAAGTCTTACAGGGTTCAAATATTAAAAACAGACATATTGCACAATGAAAACATATACTGGACGGAAAGAATACTAGATGGAAAGAATGTCAACAACTTTAATAATGAGTTGTCTTTTGGGAAATGATTATGATATTGAATGTGTACATGTAGTGTATAGTTACTTTAAAATTTCCTTCCCACAGGTAAGAAGGGCCAGTACACCCATCTACTCAGCTCAGTGTCCAATAAGAAGCTCATCAACATGCTGTACAGAAAGGTGAGTACATAATCATTATTTTACCCTTGCATGATAGATTGAAAGGGGGGGTAGCACTAAAATTTTAAGTAAAAAAGAAGGTATCTGTTGGCTAACTAGGAAACTCTAGGAATATGGGAAGCAGCAGTTTGATAAGCAGTAAATATTTCATGTAAACCATGCCTAATTTCAGCCTTGCAATGGTTCTGATCAATAATGTCAATATCTTACTGGTTAATCTTTCCATCCCCAGGTTGATCCGAGCTGCCCAGAGTTCAGGTCCAGGTTTGGTTCTACAGAACAGTCTGTAGAGGTGGAGTTCTCTACTCTGACTGTTGTCATGCACAAGGAGAGCTTCCTGGACCTCAAGGACTTCTCCAACAAGTTTCTTACAAGGTGCCTTATTGCCCAAGAGTGTGAAATACATGATTTTTGGCTTGTCTATCTATTTGTGTGTCTCTGTTTGCCTTGTAATAGACAAGTTTATATGTGTCAGCATTTTCTTATCAGATCATTTCAGAACACAAAGCAAAGGTAATTAAAAGAATTTGATAACTTATGTTTTAAATTATGAAATTGATTACTGCAGCAAAAAATAAATTTTTCTAGTTAATAGCTATATAGGTACTTTTCTGTACTTTTTTTTTTATAACACCTTTGATTTTATAGATGATATTGGGCCATGTTCCTTTGGTCTTTTGTGGTTTGCCATTAAGAATCTCTATGTTTTGTTTTAATTAGCCTCTCATCTGGGACAAAGGAAGGTAAAGAAAAGGAGGATAAAATGAAGACAGGAGAAGAAGAGGAAGGAGAATTGAGCACCAAAACAAAAACAACTGTTGTAGAAGGAGAAACAGAAACTGCCAAAGGTAGATTGGAAAATTGAAAAGTTAACATACTAATCAAACATTGCATTTGAAATATAACTTTTGTTTAATTACAAAGCATTGCAAATACATAATATACTTGATTGTTAAGTTAAACTTCTTTTAATAATAGATATTCAATAGGCAACGCATCGTGGCATTGTTTTAAAATCTTAGACTTATTTCAATGTCAAACATAGTATTGTTGATGAATTTTTCCTTCAGAGGATTCATCAACTGTAATGCTACCTACAAATATTGTGAGGATGAATGTAGCAGCTAGACTGGGCAACCTGGGTATTCTGCTGTGTGACAGCTACCACACACTGGCACAGATCAACATCAAAGGTATGACTGTACAAAATATGTGACTTAGATTTGGGTTGGCTAGACTGTAAGACCAGGATAGTTATCTGTATGTTAACTATAATGGTAAAGAGCATATTAACAGCAAGAGTACCTCTGCTAGATACAACTGGCTTACAACCTAGCATACAAAATGTAGATTAACATTAAAGGTACCACTGCTAGATGTGGGTTAGCTAGGCATCTGTGTGATAACTATAATGATTGTACTTCAACCTAGCATATAGAGTAACTATCAAAGGCACATGTACAGTGACTATTAGATATAGGTTAGCTAGTTCTTATTTTTACTATATTGTAATAACTGTTCTCTCTTTCAGGACTAGAGTCAAACATCATCCAGATGAGAAGAAGAACTATAGTCCGGGCCAGGTGAGTCATGTTGAGACTTGTAATAGATTAATATTAACTATCTATATTATTCAAATTATCAGATTTTCTGTTTTGATGGATACAATACAAAAGAGCAAACATTTTAATTTTTCAAATTTCCTATAGACTGGAGGACCTTTTGGTGCAGGATAGTGCTCAGAGTACCTTATATCCCAGGGTAAGTACTGTTTCATGGGAATTGTACTCTTTGCATCAGTCAAAAAGCAGTTTATGCAAAGTTTGGTACAAAAAATGCTTTATTGTCCTATAAAATCATTTCTAATAACATGCATAATACTTTTTGTCCATGGCATATGAAGATCACAATACATGTATTTTGTCTCCTTCACAGATAGCAGATTATGCGAAGTTTGGTACAAAAAATGCTTTATTGTCCTATAAAATTATTTCTAATAACATGCATAATACTTTTTGTCCATGGCATATAACGATCACAATATTTTGTCTCCTTCACAGATCTTATGCATTGAGGATGAGGATGTGTTCAGCTTAAAGGTCGGTCTGCTTTACTCAAATTTTTTTCTATGTTATTAATGATTACTGAACAGATGGAAAAATGGATTAATTCTGTTCTCAACTCACTAATACATGACTGTAGTTTATAATCATTGAACTAGTCTTTTTTTTTACATTCAGCTAGTCTTTTAAAAAATATCCTCGTTATAATTTCATTGTTAGAACTCTAAATAGTCTAAAATCTTGTTTCATTACTTCACAGTTTGTAGCCTATGACCAGGCTGCTGAGGCTGCCCCTGCTGTAGGAGCCCTGGACTATCACTGTAAACTCAGGCTGGGGAGGCTGCAGCTGGTCTATCTGCCCAAGTTTGTCAACAATGTCACTGTAAGTTGAACAAAGACACTCATTTTTTTCTAGAGTTGTCAGCTTTTCTGATTTTAGAGCAGCTTCATGTAGAACTCTGTTTAATTTTCCCCCAGAATTTCTTCAGTCCCTTCAGTGCACCAGCTGTTGCCACTCAGGCTGTTGACACTGCACAGACAATCCTTCAGCAACAGGTAGGAGTTTGTTATTCTATTAACTGTGTTATCAATGCATGCATGTACCTACAAGACTTTCTCAACAAGTTGCTGGCTCTATGAATATGTCAACAGTACTCTGAAAACAACTTACCGACATTCTTATAGGAAGGAGTATGTTACTTTGTGCTAATGCAAATAACAGAATCTATTATTTATAAATACCACTGAGTTTATTCAGAATATTGGAGACTCAATGAAAGACAGATGCTGATGCAGTTTTCCATGGAAGTCAATCTTCTGTTCCAATTCTATCTGCCTTTATTTATCACGGAGCACAGTTTTCCATGTAGTGCCACATGTATTCCATCAAATTTTGTCATTGGTTGGTAACAAATTTCAGATTGTGTTCAGTTTGTTGAAGGTCACTAATTTGCCCTAAAAAGGAAAGGCTGGCCATAAAAAACGATTGACGATCCATATAATCTTGAAAATTTGGTTATGATTTCATCTTTCGTGTGACCTCTTCACCACAAATTCATGATACCACAAAATGAATATTTATGTGTTTTCAATGTATAAATACTCTACTACTGTTTTGTTTCAAACAAAGATTCAGAACACAATGAAAATGACATTTTCCCTCATACAGTAAAATAAAACAACTGCAAAATGAATGAGTTCAATGTTGAAGTAAAAAAAGAATGTGAGTTCCACTATGTTCAAAGTTCATTTTGTAGCCTGTACCTTAAATACATGAGAAAAAAAATTATTGCTGGCTTTGATTTTTGATATATCTCATGTATCATGCTGATAGTGTTCCATGCTTGCCTCCCATTCATGCCTTCTGTGATATCTGTGTGTACATTTTGTACGACCTTGTGACGACCTCAGGCTGAGGAGATGGGCACGACCTTGGGGGTAGTCACACCCTCCAGCGACGACACCGTAAGACAAACAACAACACTTTCAAAATGCACAGATTTACGGTGATGGTTGCTTGGTGATCAGCCCTTTATGTGACCTCCATAATTGTCTCCTGGTATTGTTTAATTAGCTGAATGCTGATGATAAGACAAACAAGAATGCTTTTACAGACTTGAGGTGATGGTTGCTTGGTGATCAGCCCTGTATCTACTGCCATAATTGCTTCAATCTTCAAATTGTCTGATTAAATGATATAATAATTCAAGAATGCTGGTGATAAGTAATTTTTTCAAAGTTATTTTAAAGAATGTAAAAAATTTAATCAAACTCTGAGGCTTGAATAAGTGTATTTGGCAGTTGGTCCTTGCACATTTTTTCCTTGGTACCAATTGCCCAAAACTTGTTGGCAGACTCTACCTGAAATGCTTTGTGATACAAATTGCTACAGACTACCCTTCCAATGATTTACAACTTTTCATCCAAAAGGTCAAAGACGTTGAGGATAGGGGTCATCGTGTGGGACTTCACATCGATGTCCAGGCACCTGTGGTCATCTTACCAGAAACATCCACCTCTCCTGACACCTTACTCGCCAGACTGGGTGACCTCAGCATCAGGAACAGCTTTGTCCAGGAAGGGAAAGTGCCTGTGGACAAAATCATTGTCAACCTGAGCTCTATGCAGGTGTCAAGGTAGGTGTCAACCTGGCCTTGGTGCTGAAAACACAGTTGCTGTGTTAGTTTTACAGAATACAGGTATAAGCAAAGGTTTCTCTTGTATTGAACTAAACTTGTCTTGTATTACAGGCCTATGATCACATGCAATGTTGTTTCAGAATGCCAAACAGTTTCTTAACTTGTTCCTGGAAATTAAAGGAATTATCAATTAGACTAATTTTTCTCTTGTTTTTGGGTGAAGACAGTATGGCTGATTTTTCTCACAGAGGAGCTGAAATGATCTGATTCACTCAACTGAAAAGCATGAATTTAATACTTTGAATTGCACGAGGTCCATTAGACCATCTACATTGAACAGCAATGGATTAATCATATTCTATAATCATAATCCAGATATGTTGAGACTGTCTACAGGTTTGCGATAACCAGCATCTTCTCCATTTTCCCTGTCATGCATGCAGGAGACACCATTGTGATTTCTTGTTCCTGTTTCAGAGCCAAATTTGGAGACCAGCAGGCTCTGAGTGCCCAGCGACTGTTACTGGAGCCGGTTGGTCTCCATGTGGAGGTCTGCCGACAACTCCGGGTGGGGAACCCTGGTCTGCCGCAGATCAGCATTTCAGGGAAACTGGAGAACTTCAAGGTACTGCATTTACATATGCTGTGTTATTTCCTTCACTTCTTTCCAAGACATCACAATCTACTTATTGTACTTAATGCAGCATAGTTGAAACATAAGGCTCTACATGAGTTTCCTTTAAGTTTACAGAATAGGTGATAATCAGGATCATTGCTTTTCACCCTACAGATACACCTTGGACAACCAGACCTAAAAACAATCTTTGCCATCCTGTCAGGAGAGCAAGATAACGAAGGTAACTGCTATATTTGTGTTAAAACTGCCATGATGTTAGTTCATTGTATAACTGTATGCCTTTGACATTGAAACTTACTGTTTAGTGCTTGTATTGCCACAATATTGCTAATCTTAAAGTATATCCAATGTTGAGAAAGATCAACAGTGTTTTAAATCTCAAGCAATCTGCCATAGTTGTGAGAAACAATACTGCATGTCAGAATTTTTTTTTGAATTGAAACTCTCAGGCTAGAATATCCCCGTGTTTTGCTGATTGGTTTTTGAATATTCTTGACAGGCGTTGTTGAGGTGGACACCCCAGAACAGCAACAGGAGGAAGAGGACCCTGAAGGTAACAATGATAATCCACAGCAGTCAGGCACTCAAGAAGTTCCAACTGAGACAGCCCGAAGTCCCATCATCAGGACCAAACTAACCTTGAACTTTGACATGGATGGCATGGACCTCATTCTGTACAAGACCAACAACACTGAGTCCATATTCTACTCTTTGGACCAGGACGGCTTCTCGCACTTTCAGCTTCATGGGATTTCCGTAGACGTCGAGACTAGAGACAACAACACAATAGAAGCATGTTTCCTTCTTCAGATGGTGATGCTGGATGATATCAGACCCAAGTCTCCTCTCGCTGTTAAAAAGATGATCTACCATTACAACAAGCAGGGCACGTCCAACGATACCAGCGGACAAATGCAGTCGGAAAATGACAGTGCAGCAGACAAGGCAAACGGGAACATACCGCCTGTTGTACTGACAACGTTGGATGTGGTGGATGCTGCATCAGCTCTGACCTTGCACAAACCACTGGTTAAAATGACTTACAAACAGGACAAAGACAGCCAGGACATTGATCTTAGCATGGAGGGACTTCGGATCAACTTGTGCATCCCTTACCTGCTTGCTGTGGCAGAGTTTTTCACAGTTGGTAACAGCAGTCAAGAAGATGATAACAGAAAAAGGTAAGTATGTCATGAGCATTTGTCAGTTACTGACTGAGGGAGTAGTATCTTTGTTTTGTGTGGAATTGTTGTCTTTTATGCCACTCAGACAAGCCCCTAGACTTAATTGTGCTTTCTTGCCCATGTCTTCGTATTGTTACTTGTGCTCTTAATCATAGTTTATCTATCAGATTTCTTAGTACTAATAATAATTAAAAGCTTTTTGTTCATGTGGGTTCCCTAGCAAATCCATTTTGCATTCTATGCTTCTGTCAGTGTCCTTTATATGGTTAATTGAAAGTACCACATGTTGCACACTGTCATTTCCACAGAACCAACCCAACAGAAGATGAATCCTCCCCTCCCGTGGCCTCTCCCCCTCCCACCCCAACATCTCAGAGCACACAGCCAGGGAGAACTTTCAAGGCAGTCGGTCGGCTCTCCAAACCAGAGATCGTGCTGTTTGCCTACCCATCCAGCAAGGAAAGCCGCATCCTGGTACTTAGAACTGAGATAGACTTCAGCTACGAGAGGAACTCTCTCCAGGACAGTTTCAGTGCAGGAGTGAACCAACTGGAAGTCTTCTCCTCTCTGTACTCAGCTCTGATCGTGCCTGAGGGAAGCTGCAGCGTCCTCAGACCGTGTAACATCAAGTTCGAACGGACGGTTTTCCCTCACAACAAGGCGGAGAAGCTGTTGGCTGAATTTGAAGACGTGAACGTGCACATCTCGCCGACTGTACTCCACATCGTGATGGCGGTCCTGCGCTCCTGGAACTCCGGCCAGGTCCTGACCGAGACAGACGAACCAATGAAGAAGGAGCCGCTGACCGATCTCTGGAGCCCCAAAGCTATCTTGCCGAGCAAGTTCAGGAAAAAGAGGAAAACGGAAGGTGGGCATGGCGCTGCAGTGAAGAACAAGACACCTCCGCAGACCTTTGTGATCGACATGGACAGCATTCTGTTTGTTTTGGAGCTGGAAGTTGGTGAAACGTACATGCCGTCACTGTGTGTCAAGAGTGGGGTTGAAGCTATTATGTCTGATTGGTCTTCGCAGGTGGGTACTGGAAAGATTTTGTTAAAGTAGCAACAATGTGTATTACATGTTACCTTGCAAAGAAAAATTGCAGCTTTAATGATTGTAACAATCTTTGTTTCTTCGTTTATATGTCTCAGTCTATATAGCCTCCTTCTGTCAGTATTGACCATAATGAAAAGTTTAACCTAATTGTTAAAAGTGGCGTGCTGCCATCAAGCCCCAGATGTATTGTGCAAGCACGTCTAACCCTCGGAAGACGGGGAACAACAGACGATAAACCGGACAGTGAGTGAGTGAGTGAGTGTTAACAGCCCTACAGCTTCGGCTATGCCTGAACAGTCCTATACGAAAATGACAATCTCTACCACATATTGCACATTTGTAAGCTGACTTATGGTTGTCGTAAAGCTCATTTCTCTGGATCCGCTTCTCTTCTTGCACAGTACATCAGTCTAACTTCTTGTAATTTCAGCTGTCTGGACAGTGTGAACCTCCAGCTGGTTTGGCCATTGGCAAGGTCCTCCCAGCTGTATTCTATGTCAATGTCGAGTTTCTTTGTCAATAATCATTATATTGACTATTGGTAATCATCCTAAATGTTCCTTCCTGTGATCAGATGCGTATGAAGGCAGATGTCCACCTGGAGGCGACGTTCCACAATGAGAAGCTGGGAGTGTGGGAACCTCTCATAGAACCCATCATGGAGAAGAACGGCACATACAGACCATGGGATATCTGTTTCAAGGTCTGGGAATCATTAATACTTGTTGTTTCATAATTTTCATTTTACTGCAAAGTCCTTTTGCATGTCAGATTGAATAAAATGAACTATGAGCTACAGATGTATGCATATGTACCGTAGCCACAAAGTGGCAGTGTTTTACCAAAAGATGAACATTTTTTTAAACCATAATTCTATAAAGTACCCTTTGAAGGCTTGATTTAGAGTGTAACATACAATAAAAGCAACAAAATTCACTTGAATCTAATCATGGCACTCTCACTGGCTTTGGGCCCTTGGTTCAAATGTGCCTTATCAAGATCCTCATTTACAATGCAATAAAGGCAAATGATAGTGTATAAGGATGTTACATTCTTTAATTAGATTACTAATTAACAAATTAAAAGTCTGGGTGTTTAGGCTTTAAAGTAGATGCCATCCTTGTCTGTTATTTAGATGGTGAATGCCCCCAGTAGGCATCTGTGCCCGACCATGTACGACTGTGAAGACTTCGGCAACATGAAGCCTGTCGACACAGTGGTGAGAACGGCCATGTACCGAGATGACAGCGATGAGTCAGAGACAAGTCCTGATGACACTGACAGTTTTGGAGACCGTACAAGTTTGCTCGCAAGACGACAGAGAAGTTTGAACAGAGGTAAGGTAGACTTTTTTCGAAATATGTGTTATGCCAAGCTAAGGTCACATTTCCAAACCAGTCTGAGAGCTGTTAGTGTGATCAAAAAAATAAACAGTGTTTGTCAAGAATATACAATCATGTAGTATAGTGATAATATAATATATCTCATATAATTTGTTTCACCAATTTGTTCTTATTTTGTTTTTGTTTTTCAAGAAATTTGCCAGATCTTCACTTACCTCCATTTGGTCAATTCACTCTTAGATTTTCTCCATTCTGATTTGATTCTGGTTAAATCAAGGACAACCTCCCTGGTTAAATAATCTCCATGCACATCCCTCCACAGATCAGGTGGATAGTGGAAGGGGAGTGGCTAAACCTGTCAAACACGTTTCCATGGAGACTGGCCCCGCCCACAAGTCTGAGGCAGACCAGAGGGAGGACGATGAAGAGGAGGGATTCTGGGATACGATAGAAAACGCCCTGCTCTTTTCCAGCAGCTCTGAGTCAGAGGGTGAAGAGGACGGTGGGAAGGAACTTGTTCCAAAGTAGGATTTTTAGCATTCATATATTTTATGTACAGAAAAAGTTGTTCATGCTGGGAAGGTTCAGCATTTCTTTGCTTTTAAGTAATTATTGTGTATTTTGTTGCAAAAATTACAAATTCTGCACCCTATAGCCATTTTTTACTATGACTTAATGTGAATCCATGCATTGTGCACCATTTGAAGGTTTGTTGAAACTTTTAAGCAATGAAAATCTTCTAAGAGAAGGCTGTTGCAACCAAGTTAGAGAAGTCTGTTGCAACCAAGTTTCATTGTTGTGCTAATATGTGACTGTGTGTTTTCAGATTTGTTCCGCCAGTTTCTGACTCAGACTCTGGAGAGGAAGCAGACAACGAGTCAGTCACAAGTAAATCCATTGACGAAGGTAAGGTGTAATTAATCTAATTAAATTATCTCATAATCATTTTCAAGTGATACCGTGCACCTATTTTACCCAGAACTGTACCAATCTAGTTCCATTCCAGAATTGATTTGGCTTCGGATCTGGCATGGTTCTGGATGGTCCCTACATATTAAAAAAAAAAACATAGATTAGCCTCTGAGGCACATTCTGGATAGGCAACAGGACCCAATTAATATGAAACCAACTTCTTCAACAGTTGATGCCCCCACAAGAGATGAAGAGGAGGTAAAGATGGCGACATACCTGGTGCTGGACTCTGCCGACCTCCTGCAGGTCACACTCACTCCTGAAGCTATCGGTGCCATCAAGGACATTGCAGAGGTAACGCCAGTGTGAGACCTATTTTACATCTGTATGAGACCTATATTCTATTACTATTGGATCTGCACCATTGTTTTTTATAAGAAATAAGAATTTTTATGATTAAAATAATTCATTAGAGCCATAGAATGCATCAAATAAGGAAATTTAAAAATGGACGTCTACATGTACAAGTTTATTTTTCTTTTCCCTGCAGGCCTTCTCAGCTGGGCCATCCAAGCCGTTTAAGACAGGGAAACCAGAGTTCCCATCTGTGGAGATAGAGAACAAGCTTGGCTTCCACTTGACTGTTCATGTTCATCCAGATTTGCAGGTAGGAATTATAGTAGATATATATTTTTTTCTTTGTGTATATTTTCAGCATATCTAGCATTTAAGGAAAGGAAAGTGATCTAGATCCAGTTTTAGCTGACTGAAGAGCTAATCTCCCATTTGTCATGGTAGACAAGACAGACACTATGTACAGTACTTACAAGTTCATTGACTCTTCATTGTACTCTTTTGTACTCTTCATTGTACTCTTTTCGTCAAGTATAATTACACAGTGGACCACAGCTTAATGTCCTGTTCTAAGGACTGTGACCCTTTTCAGTAGCATGTATGTTGGGTTTGCAACAACAGCAAGGATTCAAACTCCCAACCTCTTGGTTCAAAAATAGGGTCGCTAACCACGGGACTACACATGCAACATTTAGTTGTCCAGGCAAACTTCCTTAAGAAAGCAGTGCAGGCAAACTTATACAAACTTGAAGTTCAGTTGTTGGTATTGCATTTTCAGATAGAAGAGGTGAAAAATGAAACTATCACCATTGTCCATGAGGAAAGGAAAACACCAGAAGAAGAGGAGGACACTGTGGACTGCTTTAAGAACCCATTCAAGGCTAGGTAAGTGACAAGTGGCTTTGTTTAGACAGGATAAAAGTTAGTATACGATGACTCTTATGTTAGGTAATTAATAGGTAAATCATCTGAATGTAAAGGATACCATCTTGATAATGTTATTAACAGTTACATGTCACAGTTAAGATCATGTGAGATAATACAAATCTTTTTGTGTAATAAATATTGTGTAATAATACATATTGAGTGTACAATCTGTACTGAAGCCGTCAATTAGAAAGTAAAAACAAATGCTGTTACAGTGTCAGATTTTATGTTTTTGTTTTGCATGACCCAGCAGGTGCCTTTCCCACAGTAGCTGTCTGTTTTGTTGTTTGTTTTGTTTTGTTGATTGCATGTTTTCCATAACGTTCCCCATTACCAGCGACCCCCCACGAGCCACGCCTTCCACCATGGAATCCCACGGTTTCCTAGCAACCCCTGGTGATAGACAGCTGCTGCCGTTTGGCTCTCCCCGCACTCGTGTAGTGTAAGCATGGGATGTAGTCTGACAGGACTTGTACAACATGGAAGATACTGTTTTAGGAAGAAAAACTAACCCAGGGCCTGTAGTAATCAAAATTTCTTTGTATCCAGTAGTAAGAATAATGAAATGTTTCTAAATAATTTAGCACATTATGAAGAAAGTTATTATTATGCCTTTGGAAACTACATTTATGTCATAAATGTATTTCTTTAATGAATATTTGATATCTAAATTTGTATAAGTACCAAGGCTCTGAAAGCAACCTAATTCACAGACACAGAAGTTGATTAGTTGGGAGGATATTCTTATGAGAGCAGAGTTGGGCAAATGTACCAAAAAGCTTCTAAACAGAATCGCTCTGCTCATGTCTAGATATAAGGAAGCCGGTTGTACAAGTCCTGGATGGTGTGGAATTCCGGAAACAAAATGTTGTGACTAGTAAACTGTACTGTGGTGGTTTTGATGCTTTCACTTCATCTTGATGTCCATCCACTCAAGCTCATCTTCAAGCTTTAGACATACCCACTAAGGCAGAAATCTGTTGTGATGCCGCATTGCACTGGCTATAGTTGTTACAGCATTATATTTTCCCCACTAACATTGCATTCCTCCTGCTTTTTGGTAGCACCCAACCTTCTCCTTACTGCACAGCTTCTAACAACAACCTTCTGTTGTGTGCTGATTGTTGGTTATCAACATCATGATTTTTCAATTATTGCTTTTCTTATTTTATAATAATTTATTTCACAGGAAACCAAACCACAGTAGCAGCAAACTCGCATCAGCCTTTGCCAATGTTGGAAACCTGGCGCTTCTGTCGGGTGCATTTGTCTACAATGTCGGTCTTCAGAAGAACCAGCCTGTTAAGACCAAGGATCACATCAAACTTGAGGTCAGGCTATTAGCTATAATTGATTTCAGTTTTATCCATTTACTTTTGTAAAAAAATGTTAATGTCTTTCTTTGTGCTGACATGCATTTAACAGTGAGGTTTATTTTAAACTTGTTTGTATGCTTGTACAGTTGAGTTAGAGCACATTTAGGGGAATTACCTAACCAAAGGCCACAAAAATTCAGACACACGGAAGTTTTTGGCCAGGAGCCTGGAGACTTTTGGTGTAAATTATGAATTTTTCTATTTCCTATGTTTTGTAGGTTCCTGGATTTGACCCTCTGCAGATTCCCTGTAGACGTGCAGGTTCCTTCATACACCAGCTGACCCCCAGTAAGGTACGAATGACTAGCAAACAAGCAAGACTAATATAGTATAAGATTTGACTTTGAATTCACTAAACTTTCACATCTGATTTCAGACAGACATGAGTTTACTGCACTTGAATGATGATGACTATGTCATTTTATGATTAATAAATGGATAAATCTCTCCCATATGTAGATTGATCCTTTTACACATCTGTAATGTTTGTTGAATACCTTAAAGTTTGTTGTTGTTTGTGTTTTCAGAAGACAGCATACAGTGTTGTATGTGATGTGGAGATCAACCATGGCAGGAGGAGGATCACTCTCAGGTCACCATTACAGGTACAGTTCAAACACTCTGAGACTCCCTTCTAATGTCAACTCTGACTAGTTCAAATTTTTCACCCATTTAAGCTATTAGCAAGTTATGAAGGTTGTAAAAACCCAAAACTCTTCCCAGAAGTCTGAAATCTCAATTTTTTTGTGTGTTTAGTTTTCTTAAGGTTGCACTGTCCTTTTTTTGTTTTTCTAGGTCAGCAACCAGCTTCCGGTTTCCATGGTGATGACCTGTGACCTTTCCCTCCTCCCTAAAGTAGAGGATAGTTGCCTGGAGGAGACTGATGACAACAAGCGAGCCTTGCTTGGTACCGTGAGCCCTGGACAGACCTGTCCTGTACCTCTGTTTGCTGCTTACCAGGCTGCACTGGAAATCAGGCCTGAAGGAACAGAGTAAGACAGCGTGTAGTGTTAACTGTGGACTCCAAGCATTAAGATCAGTTTTTAGATAAACTGTGTGGCCACATCTGTCCTAGGTGGTTGTACAATTTTTATTCTGTGGAATTTGAAAGCATTCTGTGGCAGAACCAACTGCCAACACAGATCTAAAACAGCCTTTTCTATAACAATACAGCTCAATTTTTATGACTATCCCTCAGTTTGCAGTTGTACAATGTTTTATGAGGGTCTAAAAAGATTAAATTTATACTTAAATTATCATCACATACTCTCAAATAGTGTTTTAAATGTGTAGAAATATGTGCACTACCATTTCCTGCTGCTATATGTTCAGTACCAGGTATAGCAACAAATTCACACTGATCATTGTCACTTTCCATGGTGCTGAAATAATAGTGCTTCTTTCTCGGTAATGCAACGTCCTTTGATTAGTCTCTTAACTCTTACCAAGTACGTAAAAATGCTTCTTGTTTAGGTTTGTGGCTCCTAAGGAGTCCCTGAAGTGGCCTGACGTTGCCGGTGACAAAGGTGTAAAGACTATCTCATGTGGACCAGAGGAGACTGGGACAGCCATGTTTTTTTACAACGTTACATGGGAAGCCTCTCCTGTAAGAAGGCTGGCCCTGAGGAACATGAACAGTGTTCCCTATGGTACCCTGTCTCTTCACTCACCAGTGGTGATACACAATTATCTACCATATGAGGTTAGTATCAATTATTAAGTTGAATCAAAAGATAACAAAGGTTGATGGGGTTATTGTGTACAGTTGTTTTTTTCTTTATGGCCAAGGGACTGTGCATTTCTATATAACTTTTTTGTTTATTTCTGTCATTAAAGATTTATCATTAATTTGTAATCATTGAGTTACAATTTCAACCCCTGGCTGGACAAAAAAAATCATTTTGGGTAATTTTTTGCTGACAGTGATGATGGTGTAGTAGAATAGCCAAAAGAAATATATGGATTTTCCAAAAAATGTATCCTCTACAGGTTGGCTTACAATAGGGTTTGTCTGGAAATATGTAGATTTTTTTCAAATGCAGGATAGTAACACAATAGGGGAAATATCTGGAAATATGTGGATTTTCCTAACGTATGTATCCCTCACAGGTCAGTTACATGATAGGGGAGCGTCCAGAAGTGTCCCTGTCTGCCGGGGTCAGTGTGCCGTCCTGTAGTCTGGACATGGAGAAGAACCACAAAGTGGACGTCCACCTCCGGGGCTACCAGGGGCTGGACTGGTCAGGGAAATTCTACATCTCTCTGGACATGGACGAATATGAGATGGTGAGAAACTGGAATGAATGAATGTACAAATGTATGAATGAAGAAACAAGTGAGTTGAATAAATAACCGAAAAAGAGCCCTGATTCGTTTGCATAAAATGTACATTGTAAGGTAACCTTTTTTACAGGAGCAGTGGTTTGCTAATCTACTATCTGGTTTGCAAATCATGATATGATAATGTTCATTCCATTTCTACTATTTTAGAAACCAACCTTATCTAGTCACAGTGACTGTAAAATCAACCTGATGAATTTATTCATGGTTCCACATTCTTGTGACATTTCCGCTCTAGGTTGTCATGGAAACTACAAGTATGAAGGGTGAGAAGAAACAGATGGCCCTGGGAGTACACACGACTGTGGGAGGCAGCCGGGATGTTTTCCTGTACGCACCTTACTGGCTCGTCAACAAAACTGCTCTCCCTGTGGAGTTCAGGGTGAGAGGGACTTAATGAGGTCAAAGTTCAGAAGTAGAAAAGTCTCTGGGTCAAAGTTCAGAGATAGATAAGTCTCTAGGTCTAAGTTCAGAGATAGAAATGTCCCTGGTCAAAGTTCAGTTGAGATAGAAAAGTCTGGTACAAAGTTCAGATAACTGGTACAAAGTTCAGATAAGAGAGCAACATCTATGGGTCAAAGTTCAGAGGTAGGAAAGCATTTTGGGTACAATGAAAGTATTACAGCACCTAATCATTGGGTCATAGTAAGCTGTATACACAAATTTTCAGTGGTATATACCAAAAGTTTTTTGTCATATTACAAACATACATTAAAGTCATAGTTGCTCAAATCACAATTGGTCACGGTGGTCTTTATGTCACTTCTATAGATTTACAAAACTGCTTGCATGCAACTTACTCTTTTGCAGACTTTGTGTGCAAAGTTATCCTTTTTGAAGTTGTTCATAGGTAATCTAAAATTCGGACACTCATTATGTTCTCTTACCATCAGGGTGCCGGCAGCACGACTGTCTATCAGGGTAACACCACAAACGACCCTGCTCTCTTCAGCTTTCACAGGCACAGGAGGAAGAAGGTGAGCAGAGGATTCGCATACAGCAGATTCAGTCTAGCAGACAGGAACATTCGTTATAAACCACAGAAGTAGGATAACATTGAAGCAAAGAATGTGAATCCTTTTTCCTGTTTCCTTAGAATTGACTTAATATGCATTTATTTTCAAATGTCCTCTTTTTAATTAACATGTCGCAACCTAATTAGAATAAATCAACATCAGGAGTTTAATGACTTTTCAAATCAGTACGTTGTTCACCAGTTTTCACATTGCAGGTCCTTTTCTCTCATTTTCTTAAAGTCTGTTCACCTTTTCCCCTAGTCATGGACAGTGCTCCTCTGCCACTCTGCCAGAAAGAGAGAAACCCATAACGTGGTAGAACATCACAGACTGAATTTTAACTAACACATTCAGTGCTCTGTCTTTCTCTGAGTTTGTTTGGGCTTGTTTGATACTTTGTGTGACTCTCATTTGTAACTTTTTTAATGCCTTTTCTGTCTCTGAGTTTTAGCTTTGTGTGTGTTCCTCATTTTGTTTGTTTGTTTGTTTGTTTGTTTGTTTCGCATAACCGGTAAACCGCCTTCAGGCGTAACACACCAGTTTTGTACATGTGCGCACATGTACAAGCTGCGTTAGACCGGACTGTAAGGTTTTGAACCACTCACACCGGGAAGATCCCCTACTCTTTTCGATAAGTGCGGTGGGTTCTTTAACGTGCATGGGGTGTGGATCTCCCAAACACGGGACCTCCATTTAACGTCCTATCCGAGGGACGTCCCTAACCGAAGCTAGGTACTCATTTTCACCTGAGTGAAGTGAGGAAAGTCGTGTAAAGTGCCTTTCCCAAGGGCACAAGATCGGTGACATGGGCAGGGTTCGAACCCACAACCTCTGGGGTGTGAGCCGAACGCGCTACCGACTGCGCCACACGACCCCACGTCTTTATCTTGTTTGATACCTTGTTTGTCTTTCATTTTTAAGTTGTTGGATGCCTTGTCTGCTTGATATCTTGTGTGCTTTGAGTTTAATGATCAGCTTGTTTGATACATTGTGGGCCTCTCATTTTTATCTTGTTTGATGCCTTGTTTGTCTCTTTTCTTGTTTGACCTTGTGTGTTTGTGTGTGACTGTGTGACACTCTACTTTTTATACTCAAGAGTCTTCAAGTTGATTCCTGTTAAAACCAGGCAATGGTGCTCCACCGCTGTTCCAAAATTGGGACAGAACACAGATTCTGAATAGTTTATCACCTTTAGTTAATGTAACAGTATACTACATGCAAGATTCCACTTCACCCTATATAAACTACTTTTCACCACCCATGTCTTGCCTTCATCACCCAACCCACCTCCTATCAAAAGATGAGGAGTGTAGCATGTGCCTGTACATGTGTAGATAGGGCAGAAAAGCGAATACGGCCGGTAAGAATAGTCACGCTGAAAGCTTTGCGCTGGATGTGTTACAGTACAGGTCTCGACTGACTTCATCTCCCACATGTTTTACACGCTGTATTAACACGTTTATTACTTGTGCAATAGTTGTGTTAACTTAATCGTGTTCAAATCACGATTGAAAGCAGTGTAAAAGCCATGTAACATGCAGTGCACAAAATGTAGTTATAAAACATGTGCAAAAGCTGTGTAAACTATGTGCACTAACTAGCTAATCTAGAACGCATAACCACATGCTATTACCTGAACATCTGCATCCGCATTTTACACAAAAGCTGGGAATGCGACTTAAACTAAAATTGCACGGCTTTTAGATACATTCAATAAAAAAAATGCACAGCTTTAAGATGCATTTTGGCTGAGTGTTGATCTCAATTTGCACGTGTGTAGATGGGAAGTTATTCAGGACCTGTACTGTACCAACATTAAGAGGCAGATATGTGGCAATATTGGGAGCTTTGCTGCATACATGGTGGAAGGTGATTGGAAGTCTCATTATCGTATTCTCTTCTCTACAATAATCATAGCCAATAAGTTTCTTTGATAGGAATCTAAGACTGGGAAAAAGGTTCTTCAACAAGGTGGCGTTAGATCAGTAAAGTTAATCTAAAAGAATAAAAGAACAAGGTACAATAGAGTAGTGGGCCATAGTAACATTCTTTTTTTTGTGGTTATTTAAGGTCCTCTTTTATTCCAAATTACAATAAAATGTCCCAGACCTTTTTGAAGAAACATTATGAAATCGGAAAAAATAAATTAAATTCCTTCCCCATGCAGAAACCATTATCAAAGTCAGGAAAGCTTTATTTTTCATACAGTATAATGTCCTGTAATTATTTTGTGGTCTGTAGGCCAAGATGCGAATGTTCCGGTCAAAGTGGTCATCTGCCATACCATTGGACACAGTCGGACATGCTGGGGTGGTCACCTGTCGAGACAAGGACAGTGGGAAAGTCTACCAGGTATACTCAACTGTTTGTGATGGATAATAGGATAGCATTTTGTTCTTTGATAATGGTAATGTCACATTGTTGAGTAACATTGTCCAAAGAACACTGCAGGAAAGTGATGTTTGTCCACAAAATTGTAACTTGGTCATTTAAGATGTAAGAACCTTAAGTTCAAATTACTAGCTAACATCTTTTTTTAATTCTGAATTCAATTGTGTAGATTTAATAGCTTGAAAGATATTAAAACCTGAAAGCAAATCAGCACTAGCTTTTGCCTTGCAATGATGATACATGTATAAGAGGGTTCTTTTCACACAAGAAATATAGATCTCTATAACTGACAATGACAATGACAATGATCTTTATTGCATGTTCTTGCCAATAGGGCTAAATGCATTACAAAGATATATGTATATATGTATATATGTATCTATATCTAATAGGTACTACATTCTACAACAATACTATCAAGACTGTTATCTAACTATTTGCTATAATAGCATTATGATAATTGTTCCCCACAAAATGTAGGTATGGCTGGAGATCCAGTTGTCCAAGCTGAAACTGACCAAGATGGTGACCCTCCTGCCCTTCTTCATGGTGGTCAACAAGACCACTGCAGAGGTCACCTTCACTGAGGAGGGTCAGGAGGAGGAATACTGGACTGTCATTCAGCCAGAAGAGGTAACTGATTGATTGATTAATTAATTGATTAATTGGATAAGCTGATGATTGAACAATGAATGGAAGTTGAATGGAAATAATTGATTATCAGTGTTATTTATTTATTGTCTCATGGTAATTTTTTTCACAATCACCATCAGTAAGATTAGAGAAAAGTGCAAAAAGTGCCAACTACCATGTTCAAGCCTTACAGTTATTCCATGTCTGCTGCTACACATTCAATGACATTCATTATCATTTTTATATGCATGGTTTGGTTTAATGATATTTGTGTTGCTTATCATAGGACTTGTCTAACCAGCCAACCTTATGCCATTGAATGAAATAATATCAACATTTCTGTGTACTTTTGAAAGGTTTTACCACTGTGGCCTCACTCCGGAGTTCTGAACCTTGTGGTGAGACAGCCTGGAGTGGAGAACAAGGGTGCAGAGATCCCGGTCCTGTCGCAGTACTTCCCCATCCACAAGTCTCACAGCACGGTGCTCAGAATGTGGAACGGCACGGCGCTCACCGTGAACGTGGCCGGCGGGACGGAGAGCCCCACCACGATCACGTTCACCCCGTTCCAGCCGGGAGATGCGCCGGTCCGGGTGGTGAACTGTTGTCACAACGCCTTCATCAGGTTCCACCAGAAGTAAGTAACATCAGCATCAGTTTTATTGGTGGGAATTCTTATATGGTCTTACAGAATCATTCATTGTTATGATTCATTACAACAATATTTGTTTGCCATTGGTAGAAAAGAAAAACAAATTCTATTCATCTGAAGACTTGTAAGCAAGGGTACTTTTAGTTCAACCTTACTAAATTTGTCTCAACAGTGACCCCTAGCAAGTTTTTGTTGAACTGCGTTGAACATTTTGGTGACTGTCTGTCACCTTATTCAGGGAATTGCCCTGAGAAAACATTGGCTGAAAAAGGTACTGGGGTATGTAAAAAGAGTCTCTTTATTCAGTGACTTGATGAAACTATGCATGGAAGAGCTTAATTTGTCATTGGCGGTGTACCAGCTAATATGATGTCTAATAGTGTATTTAACCATAAAGCATGATGTTTAACTGAAATAATTTTAACTCATTTCCCAATGTTCCCTATAGGGGTATGAGCCAGGTTATTGTCCTGACACCCAACCAGTCTGTGCTGTACACCTGGGATGACCCTACAGAGGAGAGAACTCTGTGGTGGAACCTCTACAAGAGAGACAAACCTTCATTCCCTGCAAGAATCAACCAGGTAGGAGAATAAAGATGTTAAATAAACCTGGTCTTACTTTTACCCTTTCTCAATAATATACTACCTTGTTGATGATGTAGGTATAGTGGTACAAGGCTCAAAATGCCAAATGTATTATAATGTGCAGGTTAGTGCAGGTAAAATTGGGGTTGTGCAGGTATTTCTGATGTCTAGCTGCACCTAACCTGCACTGGTCCATGTACTGGGTATATGCAGGTTAGTTCAGGTAAAACTGGACCTGTTCAGGTATTTCTTATGTCTTCCTGAACCTAGCCTGCACTGGGCCATGTACTGGGTTTGTGCAAATGTTTGTTGTTATTTTCTTCCAGGACAATGCAGGAATAGAGACGGTTATTTTGCCTGGGACAGAAACCCCCCACGGGAGTAAGAAGAATGGACCGAGCCGGAGTAAACAGAAGAGAACCAACATCCACTGGGTGTCGTACCTGGATGGGCTGCAGAGGGTGCTGTTCTTCACAGGTGAATGCTGGGACAATGTTTTGAATGATTTAACAGTTACTGTTACAGTTATGTACAAAGACTTCCAGAGTAGCACATGCATAGGTCCTGGAGCAACTATTAAAAATGGCTAGCTGTGGGATGAAGATGTTTTCGATTCACAATTATTACAATGTCATGTACCTCGATCATTGCAATCTAGATATAATAGTTAGGCCTAGAAAAATTAATGTAACTTTGTTTCAGGTTTTAGTCCTGAAAAACTATGGTTAGGTAGGGATTTTCTTTCTTTTTTTTGTTAGATTTCGGGTAATTTGGATCCAACAAACAAGCAATACATGGGGGCTGTCTCAACATCCCATCCAACTATTTTCTTGTGGAAAAATATTTCACCCAATTCACTGATCAGAAGAGAAAATACTTCTAAACATGTATTACATGGGGGCAACTGATCAAATGAGTGAAAGAGTGAGTATTAAGAGGATAGATAAAAAAAAAAAAAAGGAATGACATTTTGCAATGCACTTTATTGTTTACAGAGGATGCTAGCCTTGCCCAGGACGTACGGGAGGCCTCAGGAGAAAAGACCTCGCTGGAAGCCTTCCTGTCTCTGGAGGGGCTAGGGGTGTCACTTGTGAGCAGCCTCTACACAGAGATAGCTTACCTGAGGTACAGTATACTGCTGATACAGTCTGTTCAATGTAGATATATACATCTAAGTGGCAAATAGATAAACACAAGTTTGACAAATAGATTGACACAGTAGGAAACTCTCTTGTTATCAGCTTATAGCTGCCTAATGGCCACATTGTGTCATCTTTTCAATAAATAGAATTGGTTAAGTAGTACTGTCCTTGGTGCTGAAAGTTGTGTTCCTGTGCTGACCCTTGGTTTTTGAAAGATTTTGTTTAAGCAGCTGTTTTGCATTGCACATTACATGCTATAAGTTTTTGAAAAGACATAACTTTGGAGGATAGAGGAAGCTATATGAAGAAGCTCAGAGGAAAGTGCCTGATGGTGCAATGTGGGAAGTATCCCTGTTTGTGAAGAAAATCCCAATATTCTACAATAATTGTGTTTTTTAACCCTATAGTATTACCAGTACCCCACCTCTCTGGGAAGTGAACTCTAAAGGCGACAGTTGGAAGATGTTGAAACCGGAGGTAGCGACGTTCTTGGAGGACCAGTTCCGGCACGGTCACCCAGAGGCGGTCATTCCTGACAAGGTCAGGGTGGACTTCCAGAGCATGCGGATGGTCAAGCCTACAGCCGGGGGCCTGCGCAGAACATACCAGCCTGGACTGTGGTTTCAGTACCGCAGCTCTGACCACCATACAGGCAAGATGGCTGCAATCTCTTACAGTTTACATCCATTGTACAGTACAAGATAATTTGATTGTCAATGAAAATATTTCTATCATACCATTTTGAGCAATAACAAAATTTACTAAGAGTAGCTCATTTTAGGCCTTTGGTTTGTAAATGAAGTAAATTTCATTAACTCTGTGACATTATTTTGTTTCTTTACCATGTAATCTGTTACACCAGTATGAATGTTTTATTTCATGTAATCTAAACGCTGTAAGACTATCCATCTGGCTAAAGGGTATTTCAATAAAGAGAATAAAGAATGTAAAGAGCAACACTAAGACTTAAAAAATTTACATGTTGTGCATACTGAATTACCCCACAACTCCAAAGGCAACAGATTTTGAAATAACTTAGGTTGCAAGAAATAAGGCTCCTGAAACAAGTATGCAGTTCTACTGCCCTTCCCCACTGAAACTTGTGTGGAAACTATACATTGAATTTCTTTCTTGTACCTTAGGAATGCATGCCAAGCTACAGAGACTCCAGTTGGATAACCAGCTGCAGACAGCAGTGTTCCCCACAGTGCTGTACCCTGCCCCCCTCCCCAGGAAGGTGCTGAAGAAGATGGGACCTCGACCCTTCATCGAACTGGCACTCATGAGAAGACAGGTCTGCTGGTCAAGGGGTTACATTATTTGTTTGTTTGAGCCTCTGCTGTATCTGTATATTAGCTAGTATAACCGCCCTTTAGCGTAGCACACCAGCTTAGCAGGCACGCGGCACATTGGCACTTAGGCATATTACACCAAACAACAAGGTTATTCTATAGCTTCTGCCCAACTTCTGGTTCATGATGCTACATGAGTGTTTGAAAGACTGATATGCCATTTTGTTGATGCACTGAGCCACGAATTTGGGAGAAAGTTTGACCTACAGATGAAGCTTTATAATGCATTTTGTGTGTTTGTTTGTTTTGCTTAGGTCCCAGAACAACACTCCGACACCATCAAGTACTGCAAGCTGCTCCTTCAGCAGTTTTCTGTCCGAGTGGACAAAGGTTTCCTGCTGACCGTCACTGACTTCTTCACCACACACATGGAGGAGGAGGAGGAGAGCGCCAAGCTCCAGTCCGACTACGGGAAGATCAACCTCACGCTGCGAGACACCGTCGCTGCCCTCGCCACATCCGGGACAGACAAGATCTATCTGGAATACTTCCACTTCTCCCCCGTTAAACTCTTCATCAGCTTTAGCCTGAGTGGAGAGCCGCACCTCACGCATGAACAGAAGGACACGATCACAAAGGACGTGGTGGATTTCTTCCTGGGTACCGTGGGGACGACTCTGACCAGCCTGAAGGATGTGGAGATGAAGCTGGCGTACTTTGAGAGACGAGGAGTGATGCTGACACAGACACAGCTGGTCCAGGAGGTGCAGAGTCACTACACAGGACAGGTAACGGATAAACTTGGTCCTGTTTTGTCTGTAACACATCTATATTAAAATTTATTCTGGCTTATCAAGTCAAGTCTGTACTACAACTGTCATCAAGAAGAAATTGCCAGTTACACACAGGATATTTGACCTTTTGTGACAACAGACTTGTAATGCAGCATCTGAATTAAGTTTATATTTGAAATTGAACAAAGAAGGTACACTTTTGCTACTTGAACAAGCATGAATAGCATATATACAAGTTTACTAGAAACTTGTTCTTTGAGTGAACTATTTCAGAAACAACAATTCTGATTGTTAGGGTAATCCTTGCAAAAATTCTTTTAATTAGATTTAGTCTTTATGTCAGAACAAAGCAATATAAAAATAATTGTAGCTAACTCATAGATTATTGTTGACAATTGCAGGCCATCCAGCAGTCCTATGTGCTGTTACTTGGTCTGGATGTGATTGGAAACCCGTACGGACTCGTCACCAAGATTGGGAAAGGCCTTGGAGATCTTTTCTATGAACCATATCAGGTTTGTGACTCCCTCACAGTTTCTAAGAATAACACTGTACTACTTTGAGTCCCCAATGATGCTACATATACTGTCTCTAGTACAATTGTGATGTCCCTGCTTACACTGATATCCTCATCATGCAACAGATGCTGAATCTAGAGGCAAGATTGCTGTCCTCAGTGCTGAACATGCTATCCACATGCAAAGGACACTGTTTCTAGAGGCTAGAGTGCTGTACATAGTGCTGAACCTGCTATATCTATACAAAAGATGCTATCCTTATAGAGACAAAGGTGCTGTCCTCAGTGCAGACATGCTGTCGTTATGCAAAGGTCATTATGCAAACTGATTTTAGGGTCAAGATTGCTGTCTTTGGTGCTGAACCAGCTACATTTGTATGTGCATGCAGAAGATGCTGTCACTAGAGACAATGGTGCTGTCCATAATGCTGAACCAGCTATCCTCATGCAAAGGATTCTGACTCTAGAGGCAAGAGTGCTGTCCTTGGTGCTGAACAAGCTGTGTACATGCAAAAGATGCTGTCCCTAGAGACAAGGGTGCTGTTCTAAGGCTTATGCAATCCTCATGAAATGGATACTGTATCTAGTGACAAGGGTGCTGTCCTGAGTGCTGGAAATCAAACCCATATGCAAAGAATACTGTTTCTAGAGGCAAGGGTGTCCATGGTGCTAAACATGCTGTTCAAAGTCTTCATGTTCATTTTTTATCTGCATTAAATTTTAATGATAGAAACATATTTTGTTACTTTTCCACCAGGGTGCTATTGAGGGACCGGAGCAGTTTGCAGAGGGCGTGGCTAGAGGTGTGCAAAGCCTGCTGGGACATGCTGTCGGTGGAACAGCAGGGGCGCTGTCCAGTATTACAGGTAAAGACAAATCTATCATTACTATTGCCTATTCCAGGCAATGTTTTAAATAGCAACAGATGTGTATGATATTCTAATGATGTTGGTTGAAATAGGGCATTTGTGGCCTATGGGGTAAAAGGCAATAAGGAATGGCTAAGGCTGTCAGTTCTGAATTCACATTTACTATATGTGCTAGATATTTGGCCAGCTGTTGCTACATCATGCACATTTTGTCAAATGAAAAAAGATGAAATGAATAAATTATATATTTGATATTGTCATGGAAGTTACCTGTCTAAAGTAAACACTAGGTCAAAGGTATCTGGTTAATGATTGTCTATTGAAGAAGCCTGGAGGCAATATTTTTACCAGATACCTTTGACCCAGTGTTGAAGTCACACTTCAGAGAAGCAACTGTGACAAGTCAGTAATGGTTTTAAGCTTAGGTTGAGATCAATTCTGCTTTGGAACAAAAGTACTGTCGTTGTAACTTTATTTTGTTAAAACAATATTAACTAAATAATGTTACTTGATATGTAGGGAGTGTAGGTAAGGCGTTCTCCCTGCTGTCCATGGATGAAGACTACAGCACTAGGAGGAGACAGCGCATGCAGCAACAGCCCAGCGACATGCCGTCAAGTCTGCTGCTGGCAGGACAGAGCTTCATCATGGGCATAGTCATGGGCATATCAGGTTAGCAAACCATGGAGAATCTCATAATGTTATCAAGTGTGCTGCTGTGGGTTAGCAGTATGTTTAGCACAATCTGAGTCATGATTTTCTGGATGACATCTGCATGTGCATTGCTATTGGCCTCTTATTTCCAGACCTCTTATGCTCTTTATAAATGACATTATGCGTTATGTTCATGAACAATGCATTGAATCATATGAGAATTTCTGAAAGGACTTTCTTTTGTTTATTGAAGAAACTGAAACTAGCTTTCCTAGTTGACCGGTTTTGTTTTGCGGGAAGCAAAAAGACATGAGTGCAGGATAGAAGAGAGTGGAAAGCAGTGGTAGCTTGCATTGTTGATAGATGGTAGTAGCAATGATGATGATGATGATGATGATTTTTTGTTCCTGCCCATAGGTGTGGTGTTGCAGCCAGTCAAGGGGGCCCAGCAGGAGGGGGTAGAGGGGTTCTTCAAGGGGATTGGCAAGGGTCTCCTGGGGCTCTTCTCACGCCCTGTCGCTGGGGTGTTTGACATGGTCAGTTAAGCTAATTTTTGTATCCAATCATTTTGCACAAAACTGTAACTGTTTTACAGTAATACTTAATTTGCTTTTGATGAAAACCGATCTGAGTATAATACCTAGTATAATGTACAAAATGAAATGTAGTTATCATAATTATTTTTATTATTACATGTGGAAAACATATGCATAAAACAGTTCACTCTATTAGAAGACATATTAATTATCATCAATTTTACATTAGAAATCTCAATTGCTTTCTACATTACAGTTACAGTATTCAATTAAAAGTGATGTCTATAATGTTAAACCTTCCCAATGTGAAGTCTACTTTGCAAACTGAGCAATAATCTAAAACACCAAACCTATAGCCCTTAAGCAATTTCTTAGGGAAAATGTCAAAATTTAATGATTGATGTATGTGTTGTATCCTAGGTGAGCATGTCGTTTGACGCAGTGCGCCGGTCGGCGGAGGTCGGCCATATTGTCGTGCACAGGCAGCGGGTACCGAGGTTCATCAACCCAGAGACTGGACTGACTCCATACTCAGCCTACCAGGCTGTGGGGAACACTCTCTTACTGGTGTGTGTCAGGATTTTAAAATACTAAACAGTGCTCAAATTTCAACTTGCTTATTAAGAAGCTTACACCAAAGTCAAAGAAGTTTAGAACAAAAGAATTTATTGTTTGTTCAGCCATTCGTTCAACATTCTGTCCTCTTAGATTTCATAATGAAAACAACTTATTTTTTTCCCAAATTGTTTTTCCAACCAGTGCACTTTCCACACAATTTTGTGGTGCCCCGAGAATTTCATACATATGTCACAGTATAATAAAATCAGTATATGGCCTTATAATCATACAAATACCTATTAACAAGAAATACGCACTGTAAAACATAATATACCGTCACCTCTGAGCATGTGTCAGGGAAAACACAAAATTAATATCTTTATACATTTTAATGATCATGGTTTGTTCTCCTTGGTGTCTCCATCTAGAACATAGAGAGAGGGAAGTATGCGGAGACTGACATGTACGTGGCACACGCTGCCGTCAACACAGAACAGGACGAACAGATGCTACTCATCACTGACCAGCGGATTCTATTGGTGGACAAGTAAGTCATGACAGCTCATATATCAAATTGCCACACACTAGGGATGTTACCACATAGCCCAAATGGTTGTTTTGAGACCAAGCAATCTACAATAATGATACATTGCAAAACACAAGCCAAAATAAATACTAAGCAGTAAATTACAAAGTGTAGAAGGCATATACAAGATCTTTGAACACTAGCTCATTGCTAATTAAAACAATGGCATACTTCTTGATGCATCATATTGACACTTCTATTCTCCCAGGTGCTTCTGGTTCTCTGGCTGGGATGTGGAGTGGGACGTTCCACTTGACCACATTGTAGGGGTGCCAACAAAGGCCGACGGCAAACTGTCCTTCCAACACAAGGTGAGAGGGGCAGTTTAGTAAACTGGTATCATACATGCATGCATGTAGATTACTTCTAGGCTGTTTGAAATGCTTCAAATATGAAATGACGACAAAGACAAAAGAAAAGGTGGTTAGATAGATTTCCTAAGAATTCCTTATCCAGAATGTTTTGGGCATCAGATGCCTAAAGCGACGGTCACAACCCGTCGTACGTGCTTTTTCTCCGTACGTTTTTTTGGAGGCTACGTCTGCTACGTTTTTTTTGAAAACGTGGGAAAGGAGTGGCGTCTACGCACGTCACTCGCACGGTTTCACAAAGTGTAAGAGTGTGGTCTGCACGCTAAGTCTGGCCGTGAGCGGTTGCGTGTATCGTACGTTGCGCAAGTGGTGAGTTGTACGTGCTTACAACGTACGATCTCTGTGCGATTGCAACTTTACCGCAAGGAGGCCGTACTCACACGTGCATCTTCCGCACGGCACGTACGGGGCACGCGCGTCGCTCGTACTCACACGCACGGGTGGTGAATCCGCAGACCGCACGTAGAAAAAGTTTTACATGCACTTAAAGTTCTACGGCGTGTCTGCGTGCTCCCAAATCCGTAGGATTCCGTACGGAGGCGGTACTCACCACGCACGGTTGTGACCGTCGCTTTAACCATGCCTGTCTATCCCCAACAGGAGGAAGAAGAAACACCAAACCTGTTCACTGCTATTGACAAGGAGGTGAATGTGAAGGATCAGCAAGTCTTAAAGGTAATTTTTTTTTCATTATGCTGTTAAACCAAGCCTTGTTGTAACAGAACACTGCATGGTGCTAAAGTCAAATTCAGGAACTCTTAAAAAATTGTTAGACTTTTTTTAGACTTCATGGGAACCATCTGTAGCCTCTATGCTCCAAATTTCTTTTTGGAACAGAATGATTTTTTTTTTAGTCTTCTCTTAGACAATACATCTTTTGCACTAAGAAACTACATTGTACATGGGGAAAAATATAATTATCAAATATGTTTACAGTATCAGCTCTAACATTACATAATGTTACTTGAATTTCGTTTTAAGAGTCAGTTATAAGTATAATCATTTTTGTTTATTGTAATTTGTCATATTTCAGAATTAATTTTTTTCCTTCTTTGCAGTGGCTCTACTCCCATCTAGAGCAGGCTTTGGATGATGTCAGAGGAACCTGAGCACAAAAGATGTGATGTCATCACTTTGGGAGCAAAACAATCCAAGAGCTATCAAACAGTGCAACAAAAAAGCACTAACGTTCTAGTCAATATCACGTGATTCATAGTCATGTATATCATAATATCAAGTACCTCAGCGTGATTGGATCCGGATGTACGTAAAGGATAATCAAGACAAAAACTATAATTAGTATTCAAGGAAAAAAAGATAATATATATTGTGTGAAGTATAAGCACTATAACTAACATATCGTCCTATAATGCCTGTTTATAGTGACTGTGGTATATATTAAGGACTCTGTGAATTGACAACATTTGCTAGTTAGTTTTGACGCTATGCAGCAAAAGTAGCCACTTTCTATGCCCATTTGGTGATGGCAGTTGCTACTGTTGTCTTGTCAGTAGGGCAGTACTTTAATTTTGTACTTTGAGCAACGCAAGGCAAAGGCTTGCTCTGGAGTGTATTTAGACAAGAAGTGTGTTCCATAATGTATTATTTTAGGCCCATTATATTTTACTTGATTCGGTTACCATTATGACTTTCAACATTACTGACTAATATATAATATTATAATTATGTACATAACAAAATAATGCTGTAGGCCGGATGACATATTCGTTTAACTATAATTTACCCTCTGCAAAAGTTACGGATTTGAAGGGGTCACAATGTGTTCATTTGCATTCCAAGCTCTAAAACTAATGTCCATACCAAAATGTACATGGAAAGTCTTGGCTCTTTTGTTGTGCATTTAGAAAAACGGGTAAGTCAGGAAAAGGAATTCTCATGAAAAATAGGGGCTTTCTACATAGCAAATCAGCTATAAGGTTACATTTATCAGGGCTTGTTTTTTTTCTGTTACATACAAAATTGCATGTTATCATACATGTATCTTTTGCCTGCAATTTGGAGACTTAAATTTGCAAATTTGAAAATAAAGAAGAACTCAAGCCCGGCACAAGCCATTGTTCTTGCCATACTTAAGCACAACTAAAGTATATTTTTTTGCATATTTTACCTTGCAAATATGTCTGTTTTCTTTTTGATCTAAAATTTTTTTTTTGCAAATAGTAAATTTCCTGGTGTGTTTATTGAGCCCTTGTTACAAGTGGCATCTTAAAAACAGTTTGGATGAAGGTGTAGTTGTGATGGATGAGGAGCCTATGAAACAAAAGTTAGCAGAAAGTATATTTCAGCATTTATGCAAAAGAGTACGGGTCAGGGCAAACTTGGTGAGCCGTCTTGCTGCTACGTCATGGTAGTAATACTTCTCCGAAGCTAAACAGTGTTGCAACACGTCTTTGCATAAATATGTTCATTGAAATGCCAACAGGGTATAATTAAAAACATTCAGTGTGTGAAGAATAAACCATTCTGTTGACAACTTGTTTTTTTTTCTCAATGACATGCACAATTATATTATATTTATTTACAAAACATGGGACTGAGTCTTATACACAGTACTACTAGTAGGTATATATAGCCTTCAAAAGTTTGTTAAAAACAAAGTACTATTATACACGTATATACAAAGTAATTATTTCACAGTTGCTAGTGTTAGAACTTGAATTGGATACTGCTACCTATAAATATTCAGTTGTCTCAAACCACACAATAACTTACACATCACCTGGATGTCTAACCTTCATTGACACACAATACAAGAAATAGTCTAAGATCAAAGTATCCTAAAAACAATGCATTTATATGTAGCTATCCTACATCACACTATATATTGAACAAAATATCCTAAAAACAATGCATTTGCATATAGCTATCCTACATCATACTATATAGAATAACATCAGTTTTTACCTTTAAGTTAACATGATAGATATATATATATATTATTACAAATGTATATCAACAATGTTGGCAAGCTTCAACAACATCATATAGTTCACACTATAACACACAATCATGACTGCTATACTACATAATTCATGTTCAATCCAGTTAACCAATCATGATGTCCTGACAGCTAACTTACATCACACTACAGGATAACATCATGCCACATTAAGTAGTTGTATGGAAGGCCTGTGTGTACCAGTCTGGGAGAAAACTGTACTCCGAGTCCCTGTGTACAGTGTGGGTAACAGGACAGTTTGGTCTCCAGGTAAACAAGTAAACAAGCCTGGAAAGTACAAATATTTATAAGAAACAGCCAATTCAAACTTTTACATTTCAAGCATTTGATATTTGCAACCTACATACTCCTGTAGTTACACCAAGGAGTTCTTGGTAACACAACAAACTGTAATCACATAAAATAAGCAAATTTCATTTAGCAAAAGTAATGTACATGTATTCAAGGTAGTCGAAATTCAGAAAGGGCTGACCTGCAGTTGTCTTCTTGCACCACTTTCTTGACATGTGAAAGGAACTGGTCACAGAAGTTGACACAGACAGACGGGTTCCATGTGTGAGAGTCAGCCTGGATTTAAACAATCATCAGCTATCAATACAAAATCTAAAATCTATAACAGTTACAGTAACTGTGTATTACTAAGTAAGAGGGAAACTACCTTCAAGTTGATGATGTTACTAGTATGTATCTCAAGCCCTGATTGGATAACACCTACTTTCACGATCATGGTATATACATGACATCTCTAGCCCTGATTGGTTAACACATACTTTCAGTTGATGATGTTAATATGTATCCCAAGCCCTAATTGGATAACACCTACTTTCAGTTGATGATGTTATGTATCTCCAGCCCTGATTGGCTAACACCTACCTTGATGATGTTTGGTATCTCCATGGTCTTGAAGGTTTCCAGAAAATGGACGACTCCGCTATCGTCACGGAAACCACAGACGATTCTGGGCACGCCCGGAAGGAAGGACTGAGCCCACCACTTCAGCAGCTTATATCTAGTACACAATGGAACAGGTATAGGTATACATGTACATGACTGTGTACAAATGTATTTGTAAGTCCTCATCATCATTTCGTTTTAAAAAATTGTAACAAAATAATGACAACTCTGTTTTTGCTGTTCAACTGAAATATTTTCAATTCAATAACTTTGTCCTGAGCAGAGTAGGACCTCCATAAAAAACACCTTCTGAAGTTCCTTTGCTGGTTTGGTGTGAACATCTCCCGGCTGGTCTTCAGTTCGATGTAACACTGCGGCGCCCTCATGTGGTCGTCAGCTGCCCTGCAGTCCACCTCCCCTGAGAAGACCAGTGAGTGAGTGTTGAGTCGTGTTCGGATGACCGTACAGAAGGCTTCGTTTGTGTTCACAGGGTCTGATGTCTCTGTTTTCCCGCGTGGCTCGGCTGGGTGGATGGAAAATTGTAACAAATAAGTATTGTGTTAATGCTGATTCATTCTAGTGGACTTAAAGTAAACACAAACCAGTCTGTTGTATACCCATACTGAACATTGTTTATGGCCCATGCAGGTAAGACATAAAACAGTCTAAAAAGCAGAAAAGGTGGAAATGTGGTCTTGTGGTTAGGGTTGTTGACTAAGAATCTGAAGGTTCTGAGTTCAAATCCCTGGCAGGTCCCACCTCGGGAAAGGCACTTTACAGTCATCGATCTATTTCCTCACTCGACTTTGAAAAATGAGTACTAAGTACGTAAATACAGGACTCTAACCCAGGACCTTGTGGTTCCGAGTTGAGCAATCTACCATTGCGCCACACAACCCCACATGAGAATATTAGTACTATTCCTTTACCTGCTGTGAGATACTGTTCAAACTTGTACCCCCAGTACGTCATCTGGCGCTGTCTGTCCGCCATGTTGACTCTGCGGTCCCGCTGTTCCGGCGTCTCCACCTCGCTGATGTACCAGGTCCCGTTGAACTTTGACACGGCCATGGTCCATCCGTCCTGGTTCTCGTACGGCGTACAGAGGAGCTTGGTGAAGTGTCCGCGCCACGCGATGAAGTCTGTGTGCAGCTGGCTGTCGCTGGAAACATATATGTCATTACCAGAAGATTTTTGTGTTTATGGATCAGTGCATAAAACTAAAACATGGCCATAACTAAAACAGTCATGGATGGATCTTTCTTTCTATCTTTCACTTACACAAACCTGGTACTTAACACAGCTAAACCTAATAAAGTTACATGTACCATTATCAAGATAGAAAGTGTTCCAGCTGTGGCTGTGACCTAAATGCAGAAATTCTTATCCTTGAATTGCTAAACTTGTTACCAAACAGTTTCTGTAGATTTCAGTTACCCTTCTGCATGTTCAGCTCCAGTTTCTTGTTCGCCAGTCTCCGAGCTTGAAGAAATGGATCTTCTGGCAAGTACAAACTTCCGTCTGTTCTTAAGGATCCATCTTAAAACA